TACCATGATGAGTGCCAGCAGCATTTTTGTGGCATTTCTCGAGGACCTTTTTCTTCTCTTCATCTGAAACAATTACCAGGCGCATTTGTTTTCTGTCTTTTCCAACATAGAACAACTTGTTTTCTGAAAGAAGTACCAGCAAATTATAAGCAAGTGCTTTGTCTTCTGTTTAGTTTACTAAACTACTAAGCATGACTTAGAATAGAATTTATTACAATAAGTTCACTTTTGTAAACATATCTTTTTGTTTACAAAAATTTTAATTATGTCTTCTAAACAGCCATGTTTATTATCTGGACACAAGGAGTTACAAAGGCAAGTCAGAATGCAAACAGCATTCCCATAGGAAATCTGACTGAAACACAAACTAACAGTGGGGTTGGAAAGGGGAGGTAGGAGTGTTGAAACCATTGTTTGTGAAGCTGTTGGGTGCCTGCCAGCAACCTGACACTGATAGTCAAAGATTTAACTCCTCCCTACCTTCTCTCTACACAACAGTGGCAGTTTCAGTGGGATGGAGCCAGCACAGCAGACTACAATGCCTCGTAAAGGCTCATGTATATCCCAGGGCTGCAATAAAGTCAGGAAAGGCCTGTGGGCTCTCAGGTGGCTGATGGCAAAATTGTCCTTGTGCTCCTGCCAGTCATCCCCCAGACTGGATGAAGCATTCCTTGTCTCTAGCTGCAGATCTGTTTCCCTTTCTGTAGTCCCTTCAATTATGGATTGCAGTGACTATGTATTTCTACAGTATAAAAAAAGATATAAAACAAGGTTCGGCTTTTATATAGCTAAATAAATCTGTCCTGGAATGGACTAAAGCAGTTTGATCTTCCATTTCTACAAACTTCCCGTTATATATTAACCAGAGATTTGCAAAGCATTTGTGTCATAGAGAATGCTTATTAAAATCACAGAATACACAGAGCAAGATCTCACTTTTTTTTTTCATATTAGCAGATCTTCACCTTAGTATCTATTTTTAGCATAATTTGAGAGGAAAATTTTACCCTTGAAAACAAATTTTTTGGCAGCTCTCCTGATTCCACTTCGTTCACTTGATAATGTAGTGGGATGATATTCCCCTGTTCGCTTGTAGTATGCAATCTGCTTCAGGTGGAGCCCACCACTTTTTCCACTACGAACCATTGCCAATCTGAACAAAATGGACAGAATTTATTAGATAAATAGTCAGAGAAGCACATTGCCAAGGTTTTACAGATTTCTTTGTAGCTCAGAGGCTTCCTGAGCTTACACCACCCACTATACACATCCATCAACTTTAGCAACAAGGAGCACTGCCTGGAACACTAATTTTGTTCTAAGCAGGGTTGATTTTGTCAAACTATATTTTAAAATTTCCATACAATGGAGGCTTCTACTACACTCATTGGACAGGGGAAGGAAACAGTATCAAAGAAATTGTTCTTCTCGTTCTTGGATACCTCTCAAATTTGGTTGTGCTTGAGATTGTCCAAAGATCCATCTTAGCTGAGAAAAAGCTACATAGGCAAAGAGGAAAAAACCAATTTGCCACAGAGAAACAAATGGAAATTTATTTTTTCACTAATTTATCACACAATTCGATTTTGAAATTCCAAACCAGACTGCATGCGAGGTACCAATTCGTTCCTTGACACTGACTTCCCTGATAACATTAATAAGCAATAATGCCATTAGTAAAATGAGCCACTGATACAGAACCTGTTTGGATTTAGCAAGAATAGCATCAAAATCATTATGTAATAATGAAAATTGAAATATTCACAGGAAGGATTATTGATGCAGCCTCTACATCATTAGAGTGGTTTGTTTTTTTCCCAAATTTTTCCAGCAACACAGATGAGGCAGCAGTTTAATCCTGCTCTCATCAATGTCTGCAGGAGCAGGATCAAGCTTGGGGTCTGCCATGTCATAATTTCATAGTGAATACTGGTTATCTACAGCATTAAGTAAATTTATTCCTTACCCACAGTATTAAGTAAATTTATTTCTGGCACTGTTCCATTGCCAGACTGTGACATTATGTAGCCGGCTAAAAAGAGTAATTAGTTTGTCTGCCATATGTGCCAAGTGATTTATAATTATGGGGAAGTGACAATATCCAGTCACTCTGGAATGCACATCATCCCATTATGTGGGGATGCTATTTGGAAACAAAATCTGTAGGATAAGATGTCTATTTTTTAATTTATAGATTCTGACCTACCTTTACTATGCCGGTGGTAGGAAGGAGGCAAAGACCTCTTAAGAGTGATTATGCCTTCTTTCATTTCATCCTTCCCTCCCAGAAAATAGATCGCTATATGTTATTTTTGGAACCTGCACCCTGAGCTAAGCACTGCTGTTAGCAATGGCAAATGCATGACAGGAACTTTCCATTCAAAATGTGACAAGACTTTTGCCTCATTGAATACTTCTTTTTATACAACACAGAGCTGGTTTTCAAAACAAGCCAAGTCTCCTGTCATACAGCATAGTGCTTAAAAGTAAAATTTTCATACCTGAGAGAATTAACACAGATGTACTTCCCAACACCACGCTCTGGCCTGTGAAGAAAGATGGTGTTTCAGAACAGGGAAGGAGAGGAGCCAGAACACAGGACTGTTCTGGCACAGCAGTTTCCTGTAAATTTATATCTGACAGCAAATGCTAAACCAACCCACCCAGCTGGTAAATTGGATAACTAACAGCAGAAAAGGAGGTGAGGCTACCATGAAGTAAATTCATGTTTCTGTTTTTAAAAGTCAATTAACTAGTATATCTGCCAGGGGCACACATGCAAGTTTTACTCAGGGGCCTCCTCAAGGTCAGTCTTGCACTTAAGTTACCTGAAGCCAAAACCAGCCCAGTATGACCTGTCACTTTACCCACAGGGATGATGGATTCTTTTGGCTTGACACAGACTTTCAAATATGGGAAGAAAAGATCTTACAGAACAATCTTTATTCTTACAGTACTTTTGAAACTTGCATGAAGCAGCAGATATTCTCCATGGATTCCAAAACTGCCCATTTTAATAAAATGAAGTTGCACAGAACAAAATATTTCTAAGCAGGACCACAGCATACACTTCTGCTAAGCAGACATGCTATCGAGATTTCTGCAATGGCAGTTTCTGTTATAAGCATTTTAAAGAGCTTAGGTAAGCCAATGAGGAAAGAATGCTCTATGTAGCACTCACATACATTGATTTAGTATTATCCTGACCCAGCAAATAGTTAAGTACTTAAGTCTATTGGATTGTTGCCCAATATGAGCTTCCTTCCTGTATATTTAATTTCTTGTGACCCTACTAATCTGTTCCCCCACCACCTAATTTACTTTGTTTGGTCTACTCTTAAAAATGCCAGATAAAACAGCCCTGAAAAGAACAATTTATAAAATCTTCTGGTTTTCTTATTTATTCAGCTAATTCATATGCTATGTCTCTCAATATTCATAATGCATCTGGTAGTCTAAAAATCAAAGACATAAAATCAGCTATCCATTTTTTAGTACCTTAGAAGCTCAAAAAGTCTACATGAGAACATATTTTAGCAAAGAAAATGAAGCTTTCATATAACTAGTGGTCTTTAGCTTTAGCGGCTTGGCCAAAATAGTCACACCCGCTAAAACTAAGCTATTTCATCCTTTAATGCCCATTTTCTCCTACAGACAAACACAATCCTAACTGTAAAACTATTACTTAAATCCAGCTTTTGACAAATTCCCCTACTTCTGACTTGCTATTCTAACAAGAAACAGGAATTGCCTGTGGAGCTCTGAATCACAGTCACAGAATGGTTTGGGTTGGGACTGGTTTTAAAGATCATCAGCTTCCAAAGTGCTGCCAGGTCCAGGAGCACCTTCCACTAGACGAGATTCCTCAGAGCCCCAAACCCACTCGGGTTCCAACACTTCCAGGAATGGGGCACACACGGCTTTTCCGGGCAACCTGTTCTAGCGGCTCACCATCCTCTCCGTAAAGATTTTTCTCCTAGCAACTGGTCTAAACTTGCTCTCTTGCCCTGTCACTCTATGTTCCCTCACAAGCTGTCTCCAGCACGCAGCTCCCTAACGCCGCTTTTCTAACCCAGGTGCTTCCAAAAAGGCGCGGATCAGACTGGGAGACTCGCCTACACTCCTCCCTGGCTTTGCAAGTGCGACAGAAGGTTGGGGCCGGCGCCTATGAGGCGAAGCCGGTCCCCCGGCCCCATCCAGAATCGCACGGATTCCCGCCGGGAATCGCCTCCGCATCCTCCCTCCCGCCCGCCGCACTACAACTCCCGGCGTGCCCCGCGCCCGCGCACGGCACGCCGGGAGCGGCCGTCCCCAGGCCTCGCGCCCCGCGCATGCACGAGGCGACGCCAACGCGCCCTTTTTGCTTCCCGCCGCCGCCCCCGCCGCGCTCCCGGCCCGCGGGCACGCCCGGCGGCGCCGCGGGCACGCACCTGCTCCCGCAGAGGTACCGGCGCGGGGGCCGCCGCTCCCCGGCCACACCAAGCGCAGCCGCGGCCCCGGCGGCTCGCCGGGACTTTTGTGGCGCCCCCGGAAGTGGCGGGAGGGAGAGGAGGGGGCGGGGCAGCGGCGGCGCCGCCTCCCGGGGGGCTGCGGGGCCGCCGCGGGCAGGTGAGGTGGCCGCTCCCTCCTGCCTTCCCTGCCTTCCCTGCCTCCCTGCCTTCCCTGCCTTCCCTGCTTCCCTGCCTTCCCCTCGCGGCCCGGGCGGCGCGGGGGCTGCGGGGGAGCGGTGCCGCAGTGGGCGGCGGAGCCCGCGGGCCGCCCGGCGGGGCTCGGGCACGCCCCGGCGGGCAGCGCTTTGTCCCGGCCGCTCCGCCCCGGGCCCGCGGGCGCTTGGGTGCCGGGGAGCGCGGGTGCGCCGAAACGCCGATGGGGAGGGAAGTGGCGGAGCGCTTCTTCGGAGCGCTGCGCTTGGAGCACTCGGTTAGCATCCCAAAACCTGGTGATAAATTCAGTAGTAAGTTGAGCAGGGGAGATGGCTAGCTGTAAGCAAAATGGGGCGCGGAGGGGGAAGCAGCAGCAGAAGCGCCGCAGCTTTGAAGTGATTACATGTCAGGAGCAGAGATGAGAGAGACGTAAAGACTGCATGATCCGTGTTACATTTATCTTTGTTTTTATGGTGTTTTCCAGTTATAGAGTATTGGTTAGCTTTGAAAATGCTGGACGTTTGGCGGTTCTATTGTTTCCTTGTAGTCAGTCACAAGCAGGAAGATTGGGAGATATCTGTATCGCAACCACAACGAAATAATTAGTTTTCTTTCTCATACAAACTACTTCTGATATTGGTGTACCCTTTACATCTGTTTGTAACAGTGCTTCTGCATTGTTGTATAGGTCTTTTTAAGCGCTGTTTCCCTCTATCTGATTAGCCTGAATCTTTCCAATTTTTTTGCATCCCTTCTGGATCATATTTCTCTAAGTAACAAGCCAAGTCTGTTGTTTTTTTCCGTGGAGTATCAAAATTCTTATTGAATCCATCTTTGTCTTGGTGAGCAAGGTTTGAGTCAATCAGCAACAAAACTATTCTTGCTATGTAAAACAGTTTTTGTAGTATAGAGTAATGTAATGTGCCTCTTATGGTTCAATGTGTGAGAAATTCGAATTTTTATACTTACTGCCTTATCTTGGTTGTCTTATTCTTTCTATAGAAGAAAATTTCACCCTTCTGGCAGTTGTGATTAGAACAGATCAAGCCTCCAGTGGCTGAGCCAAATGAACTTGGATACAGATTTTTTTTTGCAAAACCTCTCACCTCTACCAAGTTGAAGTTCTTTGTGAGAATCTGGAGAAGCTGTTTTGACATCTGTGAGTGGGACCTTTAAAATTTTGGAAGTCAGCCTTCCTGAATCACTGAAACTTGGCTCAAATATAAATGACTTTATGTGATGTGTTTGACAGAATTTGATTTAGAAAAGAACTTGGGGGTTATGAATGTGAAAATTATCTACTCTGTGGCTGTGCAGGAGAACTTAAAACACATGCCAGATACCAGTTTGTGTGTTTTGCCAGTTTCAAATAGCACTGCCTTTCTGTGCAGATGATAAGACAATGATATTTGCTAGATGGGTTTTTCTAGACTTCTAAGGCTGACTTAACACTTCTGTTAAGGAATAGTCATCGTTTATTTTGCAGTTTCAACCAGAGAGCTGAAATATGCCTGTGATACTGCAACGTTTAAAGATAAACTCAGAGTTTTATATGTGCTAAAAAGTTACTCTTCTGCTAGTGAACTGTTAGGGAAAAATAAGTTCTGCAAGCAAAGAACTTGGTCGGCAAAAGACCCATTGAAAAGTTATTTCACTTTAGCGTTTGGTAATTCAGAATAGCTGAAAATACTTTGCCTAACTAACTATATATAATTACTGGGAGAAAAGGCAGACATGGGGAAATCAGCCAAGTAGTTACTGTTTGAAAACTGGAAAAGTTGTGCTTTAAGACAAGACTAGAAATCTTATTTTTGAACAACCTAGAAGATATGTATTTCCTTTCTGCAAAGCTTCCTCTTAGCAGACTCCTGGCTTACATGGCTTTTCTCAGTTTTTTGTTACTAAGATACTGTAATACAGAGGATCAGACTGAATATTACTTTTGGTGCAAACATCCATTACTCTTGGAAAAGAATAAGGATCCCCAGAAAAAGACTTAGGCAACTGAAGCTTGTTAGCTAGCCTAGTTTTGAGTTATACAGAGTTTTGAGAAATGTGAGGTACTGTTGTGCAGAGTTGTTTCCAGTAGGAAATGCCAGTAAGGTGAGTATTTCTAAATTTCTGATGCTTGAGAAGGGGTGCTTGGAGGTGTCTCATTGGTAAGATTTGGCAGACTAAGGACTTGTCTTCTGCTTGGAATACTGATCAGCAAGCACTCTCCTGTAAAAAGCAATCCAGAGGCCACCCTAAGAAAAAAAAAAAAAAGCTAAAACACAATAGCACAACAAACAAAACACAAAAACCCACTTAGTAGTGGCTAGGGAAAGTGAAAGGATTATGATAGCCTAGTGGTTAGAACAACTGAATGGAACGGGACAAATACTATCTCTGTTCTCTCTTGTATCAGAGGTTTTTGTGTCAGCAAACTCCCTGTTTTCTGTTAATCAGAAGTGTGTCCTAGCCACCAAGCTGAAAAGTGTGTGGGTAAAGACATCTGCATGTGTGTGTTACTGCTGAAGATGGAGTATGAGTAACAGTCCATAGTTTTTTTCCCCCAGAAAACACATTTGTTGGCCAACAGGTGCTTTCTAAGCAGAAGCATGGAGCAGATCCTCCTGGGGCACTTGGAAAATAAGAAGGCAATAGATGACAGGCAATGTGTCTTCACTAAGGCAAATTTGACAATTTAGTGGCTTTCTATGAACATCTTCCAGTGAGTAAAAGGAGAGTGATTACAAGAAAGCTGGAGAGGGAGTATTTACAAAGGTCTGTAGTGATAGGACATGGGATAATGACTTTGAGGATGAGGAATGAGAGATTTAGATTAAATATGCAGAAGTTCTTTGCTGAAGGGGTGGTGAGGTACTGGCACAGGTTATTCAGAGAAGTGGATGCCCCATCCCTGGATATCTTCAAGGCCAGGCTGGATCAAGCTTGGAGCAGTTTAGTCTAGTGGAATGTTCCCTGTCCATGGCAGGGATTTGGAAACAAGTGATCTGTGGGGATTTTTTGTACCAAAACCCTTCTATGATGCTTTACTATACAATGACACATTTTTTTACATTATTTTTCTGATATATTAATTTATTTATCCATAAAGAACCACTTGAGGACTTAATATGATCCCCTAAGTAAAAGAAGGCTCCATGCTGGAACAGCATTCCTGTCCATGTGCTGCAGCTCCTTCAGTGGTGCACCAGCACAGACTCTCTGTGGGCTATATCTCCCTTCAGGGTCCATGCACTGTCTCCATTGTAGGGTTCCATATGACCTGCAGTGGATTTCTGCTCCACTGTGGACCTCCGTGGGCCTACAGTGGCACAGCCTGCTTTACAGTGGGCTGTTGGGGAATATCTAAGAGCCTGGAGCACTTCCTACATGTCCTTTCTGAATGACTCTGCGATCTGCAGAGTTGTTTCTGTCAGTTATTCTCACCCCTCTCAGCTGCTGTGCAGTGTTCTTTACCCTTTCCTCTATACCTTATAGCAGAGGTGTCAGCGGCATGGCTAAGGGGCTCAGCTTTCAGCAGCAGGTCCATCTTGGAGCTGACTGGGTCTGTCTGAGAAAGGGACAGCTCCTGATGTCTTTGACAGAAACCATCCCTACAGCTCACTCACCACCAGAACCTTACCCGGGAATCCCAATGCAGGCACTTACCTGGCAAGGAAGACTCATTTTATTCTTAATAAGGTTTTTTCAGGTTTCAGTGCAGTGAAACTGGGAGGTGGATAGTCTCTCTTGGAATAAGAACTGCTGTAATTTTTCTGGTGGAGTAATGCATAAACTGCTATATAGTAATGCTTCTGGAACATTGTAAAAAATATCTGCAGTGTTCCCACAGACAGAAAGAATTTAACATGTTTACAGCTGTCATTTGCATAGATCTATCTTTTTATCTTGTCATTTGCACAGATCTTTTCAAGTGGCAGTCTGAGAGCTGTGCTTGGCTTGTAGGCAATATCAATTTCTGGCTAAAAGCAACAAATAACGGTTACTTTTCATTCTTTTGTTGAGATTCTTATGATTAGGGAATCTGTTAGCTTTGGGAATTATTAGGTTTTTTTAGGGAATATTTTTCTAGGGAATGTGTTTTCTGTTACCTTTTTTTAGCCTATTGCTTGGCTGTAATTTTGCACATCAGTGGAGTTTCTTGCCTAATGTTACTGAGCAGAGCTGAGTTACTGAATGTGATGATAAACTTCATAAGACTACTGAAGTTAGTATTTGCTGAAGAGAGACAGAGATTTCTCAACTTCATGTACTATCCTTGGACCTTATAAATTTCAATATTTATTTGAAATCCTTATATCCCCTTGAATTTTCATGATTATTGTTTGATTTGTTTCTTTGTGGGTTTTTCTTTGTTGGGGTTTGGTTGGTTGGTTTGTTTAGGTTGTTTGGGTTTGAGGTTTTGTTATTGTGTAAAAATTATCAGGCAGTAACTATAACATTCTTTTAACATTCTTTGTGTTTAAGAGATACTGGGATAGAGCTGCTCAATAAATCTTTTTTAGATTTAGTCCATATCAGTAATGTGCTGACAGCTACTGTTCAGCACTGCATAGAGATGTATGTGGACAACAGAACAACGTCTGTATGTAAATGTTAATTTTTTTATTGATTACATGACACAGGAGAAATTTTGTGTTTGAATTCTATCCAGTTTAAAACTGGAGTGAATATGTGTCTCATGCTGTTTAAGGTACAAAAATAAACAAGTCACATATGGTTTACTGACAGCATTGTCTTCAGCAGCTTCTGTGTTTGGCATCCTTTCCCTCTTTTTCTGCTTTTTGACTGTCCTGTCTCTTCTCTCTTCCTGGTTTTTTGTCAGACCTGAAAAAATGCTGTTGTTGAGTATGGGTTCTTGTTAGTAGTTCTAAAGTCTCACATTTAAGTTTGAAATATTATCAACTTTTTTGACTCATCTGTAGAAAGGTGTCACACATGCACGAGAGCTGTTGGGATTGCAGCACTTGGTGTTCCCAGCTATTAGACTCCACTGAGCTTGTCTTCTTCCTGTCTGTCCTCCCATTCCACCCTGTTTCCTCCTCATGCTTTCTTTCTTGCGTCACCTGCAATCCAACAAACTGTCTGTCTTTGGTAATTTCTTACCGCATAAATTGTATTGCAGAATTGGAGTTTTGAAATGGGTAAAATGCCTCAGCAGGAGTCAGGCAAACATTTTCACTGAATGTACTATTAATGAAAATATTAGCTGTAGTGGTTCTAGCAGGAAGATATTGAAAACCTTTTGTCAGTTTGAGACTATCTGAGAAATTGCTATTAACATTATTTGTATTTTAATAATGTAATTTAAATTGCCAGAAGCTGATAAGGGATGCAGTTGGAATATACCTACAGCATGAAAAAAGTGAAACTTTAAAAGTGTCTGGGGTGACTTTATGATGCTTGTATCCCCATTTGTCTGTTTAGCCATTAATAAATAGAACTAAATTTTGCACCTTTAAGACTTGTTCCAAGAGCAAAGGAGGGAGAGAAGAGGCCCAGAGTTTGTTTTCAGAAGCGGCACTCACTCCTCCACATTCCTGCTCCTGGACTGTGTTGTCTGCGGATGGACAGACAGCGGGACAGAGCTCTCCTTTGCTTTTAGTTAGTTTTAGCTGGCTGAGGCAAAGGAGTTCCCTGGACTGTGTTTTTTTCCTTTTCTTTGACCCGTTTAAATCTGTCTGAACTGAACCCACCGGGCCAGGCCTGGGCCACGGCATTTTCCAGCGCTGGAGGGACTGAGAAGAGACTGAGTGAGCTGAGCTACAGCCCAGAGGGAACTTTCTGAGCTCGTCATCTCTTCAGAGTGGAGAGAGGTTTTATTGTTTAATGTTGGGGATTTTTTTTTTTTTTTTTTTTTTTTTTTTTGTGCTGGTGAATGCTTTGCCTGTTAAATATACAGTTTTTTTCCACTTTTTTCCTGAACCACTTGCAGGAGAGGCCACTTGCATTTGGTTTCTAGAGGAATCCCTTTGGAGATTTCCTCCCAAATTTGCCCTAAACCGGGACAAAAAGGAGCAGTATGTAGGTAGAGCACAGGGCAGTGGTCTGTTTTGTACATATGTGCAGAATTGTAGCAGCGCGTAGCTACAGTGATGATCATGATCCAGAGAAGCCACAGTGGCACAGGGAAAATAGACAAGTCTTTCTGAGTAGCACAAGACTTCATTTTAATTTCCTCTCCAACCCTGTGCTGGGGGGAGTGGGGGGGCAGACCCTGAGAGCCTGAGCAAAGCCTAGAGAGCTGAGAGTGCTCAGACCCAGGGCGGTGAGGTTTTTATCAGGTGTCCCACGGGAGGAGTCTTAAAATCAGATTACAGCCTCATCAGAACAAAGAGGCTCCACACAGAATCATGTTACATATAAACACTACTTATGATTCTTTGTTATTTGTTTGTAAATTCCACAATGTAAGCTACTTTGATATAATGGCATTTTTAGAAGTTGTTTTCATGAGTGGTTAGTAAATTAAAAATATGTTGGAACTATTTAATGCATGATGGAGGGTTTAATCCAGAGTTTTTATTCTGGCCCGCAGGCCTCTGAATGTAGCAGCAGCTCCAAGCAGAACTGCCCTGCAGGCCTCTGAATCCAGTCACTGCTCCAGCAGAACTCCCGGACGCCTGGTTCCCTCTCTTACCTGGGGGAGAGGAGGGGGGAAGGGATAGGGAGCCCGGCAGACAGGTATGGGAGAGGAGGTCTCAGGCGACAAAGGACACCTGGATGGCCCAATGCCCCCTGGGGATGGAGGGCATCTTTTGAACCTGCCCAATCACTGATGGCCTTCTGGAATGCCAGGAGTGACAGTGCTGGCAGGGGTCAGGGTGGGGAAAGGAGTGATTGACACACCTGGGAGGACACCTTCAGGGGAGAAACCAGGGATCCAGGGAAACCATGAAGGCACACCACAACAGGTGGACAATGTTCATCTTGGAGAAAATAATTATTAATTCCAAGCAAAATATGTGGCTGTTAAGTCTGTTTTCTGTGCATGAAGCCCTACTGCAATGTACTTTCCACTCATATCACCAACAGTCTCCAGATTCTTGAGTGAGGAAGGTAGCAGAACAATGAGTTTTCAGACAAGATCGTTGGGGAAGTAAGTTTCAGGTAGTATCTGTGTAGACAAATAGATTGCTCTTTCCCTTCAATCTATGTGTGTCCGTTTTACTTTGAGAAGTAATCCTTTTGGACTAGAGATACTTGGTTAGTGTCAGATATCCTCATGAAATAACCAGTCATCAATTGTACACAAACTTTATAACGTCTGCTGCTCTCACAAAGTGTACTACAGGAATAGGTAGGGAAAGAACGCCTAAAAATCTTAAGACCTTCAACTTATTCTTTCAAGTCATTGTTCTTCCCTCTTTTTCCTAAGTTTTAGAAAGGTGTTAATAAATTGGTTACCAGTATACAGATTTTGGGTAGTAGGGTGGAAGGTGATACAACAACAACTTCATTTTTTGGCTTCATCAGTGTTTTTTGGGGGTGTCTCTTTTGGTTTAATACCTTTATAAAATTGTGTGTTAGTTGCCATTACATATTAGCAATAACCTCTGCCTTTCTGAAGCTTGCTAGAAATAGGATTTGGAAAGCTCTCTTTCTATACCATGTCATAAACAGGATTCATTTACCTGAACACCCAATCTCTAACTCTTGTAACAGTCAGATGAATTAGGTTCTTGAAATTCATCTTGTGCTTATTGCTTGAAAGGCAAACAGCTACAGTTCCACATTCTAAAGGAAAGTAGTTTTTTGTTAGCAGAATTGAAGGACAGCAGACACATAGCAAATGCATTTAAGAAATAAATCTTTTTAGTCCACTTCTATGGGCCCAGGTTCTTTATGCTCAGAGCTCAGTTTCAATCTCTGGGTCTGAAGTTTCTCTATTTGTCTTGGGGTGATTTTATGACGATACTTTATTCCCTGATTATCTGCTTTATGACCAGAAATGTCTGTAGTATCTTTAAGATGTAACCAGGAGTCAGGGCCAGAGCCTGGGAGCATGGGGCATGGGCTCTGTTCAATCTCTCTTTTTCCAGCGTGTTCTGGACATTGTGGACCAGGAACATTGCATTGTTCTTTTGTTGGATTAGAGTTTTTGCTAGCTTGAAACAAGAGGGCCCTTCCCCTTTCCCTTCCCCTTCCCCTTCCCCAAAGGAGCTGAACCAAAATGATAAAGGACATTAAAAGCTACCAACTTCAGCTACTGCAAGGAGGAGACCCATGCCAGAAATTCAGCAACTTTCCCATCTGCTCTGCTCTGGGCTGTTATGTGATCTCCTCGTCCCCTTTCCAGAGACAAAAGGGATCAACTGCCTTTTTATCCCAGGGCACTCAACTGCCTTTTTATCCCAGGCACACAATCAGCTTCTGTATTTTTTTCCCCTGGGCATTTTTCTGACCTTTTTTTGTTCTGTTGGTGGATGTCTGGGTGTGTGGAGAGTAGGTTTCTGGGAATTAATTTATTCAGTCATTTTCTGTGCCTTAGAGCACCCCAATGCCTTGTTTGTTTGATTGGGTTTTTTTTTTGTTGTTGTTAATAAGCAGGTCTTTTGATGTTTTTTCACTTTCACCTGCTGGTACCAATATCTCTCATTGAAGAAAAGAGAGATATTGAAGGCATTTTTCTCTTTAGAGGAAATACTCATTCCAGGGCATTTTCTCCTGAAACTTGTCTCCAAAACAGAGACAGTGTTGTTCACCCACACCTAGCCTCTGAATTAGGGCAGTTTCTTTTTGGGCAACTTTAGCTTTGCTTGCCAGGCCCCTTCATGGTTGACCACTAGTGGGAGTTTACTATTGCTTCACTTAGTTCATAGAACAGCCAAAGTAATTTTCGCTGATATTTAAAAACAAATTCAGTTCTGCTGAGACATCACTGTTGAATGGCACTTGCGTAATGCCATAGGACTGAACAGCCTAACCCATTGGATCAGATGAACTTCTAAACTGCTTATAAAGTAACTGCTTGCTAATTTTCTAAGTGGTAGTGATGCATTATAAATAATGTTATAAAGCCATATACATCTCACAGCATCAGTTACCTTGTTAAAAAAACAGATGCCTAATCAATGGGTCTGTTTCTATATACAAGTTATTTTGCCAATATTTTATTTTCATGTGGCAGGTTAAAAGGGTTTAATATGTGTTCACTTCACTGCTACATTAGTGGTTAGAAGTCCTTTTGTCAGAAGGCAGTGCTAGTGTCCATCTCTGTAATTTTTAATTTTTCACAGTGAAAATAAGGCAACACTTTGTTGCAAGCTGTCACGTACATTCTGTTTGGATAGAAAAGATTCACTTGTGTTATAACACTAGGGGTTTTTTTAAATAGTCCTGATGGTGGGTTTATGTTTTTCATTAGCACAGGCAGTATTAAACAGACAGTAGTCTGTTTGCCATTGTCATTTGATCACAAAATTTCTGTGGAAAAAACAGCCAGTGCCTTGAATACTGAGTTAATACTATAAATATTGGAGAATATTTTTGTTGCAAATTTCATGTAAAATATAAATTCTCAATTTAAGCCTTGCATCAGTAGTTCGATAGTAATTTTGAAACTGTTCCCCATGTTCTAAACATACATCTAAAAGTGTAAACTGTGTGTGGTGCACGCTGTTTTATTTCTGATGCTTTGCTCAGAGGTACATAATTGTCCAAACATTTTTTATAAGTAAAAAGAGTTTATTTTATCTCCCCTTATCAAGTGTGTCTTTGTTTCTTGTAGGTTAAAAAGTTATACCATCTCAGGGAAGCAGCAGCACACTGTGGTTTTCTTGGAGCAGCAACTCTGGTCAGTAATGAGCAGATGAGAACGAGTTAAACAGTGCCTGGTAAACAACGCAATCACAGTGGCAACAGTGTACAAGCAAAGACATCAAAGAGCAGGGGACTTTGGTGTTCCCATGTCAGTAGGAAACATGCCCAGGATCTCAGCTGCCAGAGTGCCTGCAATTTTTACATAGATTTATATAGGTCTTGTAACCATGTCTGTTAATGCGACAGAGAATGATCCTCCCAGATTCTTTGTGGGTGGAGAAGATGGAGAAGGATTATTGGATTCAGCCAGATCTACAGATTATGAACACTTCTATGACCATGGGGAAGAAGAGGAGGAAGAGTATGACTCTGTAAGTACTCTAGGGACACTTGTTTATTATTCTTTGTTCTCAAGCATTATTTTTGATTTCCAATTTTTTTCAAAATGTTTTATAAAAATATTTTTTCAAAATATTTTTCAGTTTTTAATTATTTTTCAATAATGGCATTAGTTCACATAAGTCTAGTACTGAAATGGTGTTCTAAATTGAGATATTGGTCATATTCAGATAATGATTTGTCAGTAATATTTGGAAAAGAAGAGTACCGGAAAATTAAGTATGCCTTTAACTGTGAAGTAGATGTGCTTTATTTTAGAGAGTTCCAGGGCAACTGAGCTTGATGTGCATGATTTGGAGACTTGATTTGGATTCTGGGAATGAACGTGATGATGGCATAAGCCTCTGTTTCATTTATTTGGATAGTTGGAAGCAAAAAAATTATTGGGAATTATTCTTTTGTGTGCTGTCAACTGCTTCAGAGTTAACTTTTGATTTTTTTTTCCCCTTCATTGTCTTGGTATATTGAAAGTCCATTCTAAGTTAGTCTTAATTATACCTTTATTATATCTATAAAGTGTTCTGAATTATATTTTGAGCACTCTGCTCACCAATTTTTAGCTTGCTTAAGACAAACTCTTAATGGTATTATGCATGAGTCATCATGTGATTTTTTAAACTCTTTGTTCTTTTTGCAACATTGCATTTTATGGAATAGATGTAATTTTCACTAATTATGAATTATTCTAAAATGTTTAAATGCAAGACAGCATTGCTAAAGCACTTCCCATGATTAAAAGTAACTTGGAAATGCAGAGTAGCAGTGCAAAATTGGCAGCTCAGGTAGCTCAATTCAGTGAGCCTATTTTGGCAAAGGAAAGTAGCTGGCTAGGTTTTCAAAAAGTAGTAAGTTCAATTAAAAGGATTGCTCTGTGGGTTTTTTGTTTCCTTTATAGAGCAAAGTAGGTTGACCTTTGCCTTTAGAAATACCACGGACAGAAAAAAAATATTAAAAGTTTAATGTGAAAGTAAATATAGAGTATGCAAAAAAAGTGGAACTGTTTATGCACTAAATAGTTCAGAAATCTAGAAAAGTAGTTTATTGTTTTCTAATTTTTCTTTTCATAATTCACCTGTAATATTAGGTGATGAGAGGCCTTTTGACTGTTAATTAGATATAAAAAAATGACATAATTTAAAAATCAATTACTAGTTACTTTCAGAGTAAGCCATAAGTATGATTTTGTTATTCAACACTCCTGACTTAGCCTTTGACCATGTCTGTTTGTGGTAACAATACTCAAAAATAGTAATATAGAGCTTTTAAACAGTCTCACTCTTGAGGCATTTTTTGTGAGGATGCAGTGGGATATGCTGTTACAATGCATTTTTTTTATCTGCTAGCAATTTACCTGAATTTTAAGAGAAAATACATGCTCTAATAACGTGCTGCTAAAACTCTGTTGTGTTTTGAGAACACATAAAAATTACTTTTCCTTTCCCCTACCTCCTTTCCAGCCACCAGAAAGACAAATTGCAGTTGGGATTTGTTCAATGGCTAAGAAATCAAAGTCCAAACCAATGAAAGAAATTCTTGAACGCCTCTCCATGTTTAAGTATATAACTGTGGTGATATTTGAAGAGGATGTTATTTTGAACGAGCCAGTAGAAAATTGGCCTTTATGTGACTGTCTCATTTCTTTTCACTCTAAAGGTAAATCTTGTAATAATACCATAAATACTTGCGACTTCTAAATTACTTAAGCTCTTTGAAAGTCCTTTGAGCTTTTTTGTCTAACAGTTTTACTGGATTTTCCTAGGAAGTGATTATTTTGTCTTCTTTAATATAATACAACTGACTTGTAAAGTGCAAGTTTTTTAAATTATACTGTTTACATTGCTTGAGAAAGTCTTGCCTGACACAATATAAGAATAGCTGTCTCACTGGTAAATACATTTGAAGCCAGTGGAAATAGTGATGTAATTCAAAGGATCCAAACTATTTACTGGTAATGTGTCTTGTAATTTTGTTTTTCTTAATAAACATTTTAGGGTTTCCACTGGACAAAGCAGTAGCTTATGCAAAACTCAGGAATCCATTCATAATCAATGACTTGAATATGCAGTATCACATACAAGACAGGTAAATGACACTAATCACTTTTTAAAGCAAGCCAGTTTTGTCAGAGGATATATAAATGTGTTGTTATTGCATAGCAGCAGTTCCAGTGTATTGTCCCTGCCCATGGTGGAGGGTTTGGAATTAGAAGATTTTTAACATCTCTTCTAATTCAAACCATCCTGTGATTCCATGATTGTACAGTAGTTTAAATAAAATTACAGTGAATGTTACACTTTATTAATGTATGCATAGTTTTCTGGAATGTGTCTTCAGGTGTGTTTTTTTCTTTGGCTGTTTTTACATTGATGTATCTGAAGATTTTCTAAAGCTTAGCAAATAAAAAAGTTTAAACTCTTAAAATACATGTAGGATAAGTATGTATAGCAGCTGTACAAGCTCAGATAATTGTAGAATTCATGTGATTTACAGTATTTTTTTTATGTGAAGATGATACTTAACAGATGTTATTGGTACTCAAAAGTCATGTGGTTATTGGAAGCAAATTATCTTTGGGAACTGAGGTCATGCATAGCAAACATTAATAAAACAACAGTAAGCAAAATATGCTAACACTGAACAGTGAGAAGACTTGCTATTTTGGATGCCTTCAGTTAGTGTTCTGTATAAAGTTGAACAGTTGAAAATCTCCTTTAACAAGACAATTGTTTTGTGCAAATGTTGCACTGCCAGATAGGAAAGGACTGGCATTGCAAAGTGCATTTTTATTGACGTTGAAGAGATCACTGCAAAGGTACAGTGACCTTTAAAGCATTATATTAGTAAATAGAGTATTATATATGTAACCTTACCCTGTGTGATTTGAAAAAAAAAAAATTATTTATTTTTCTCCTCCTTTACTCCTAAGATTGTAAAATGCAAATATTTGCGGGATTTGCTGGCTCATTTCTTCATGTTCTTTTCTTTTAGAAGAGAAGTCTATGGTATTCTTAAAGCTGAAGGAATTTTACTTCCTCGCTATGCAGTTCTGAACCGTGATCCAAACAATCCCCAAGGTAAAAAGAACAGAGAAAAAATATCAACCATTAGCATTTCAGTGGAGAGCAGTATGGACATAGTGGAAAGCTAAATTTCACTGCCTAGACAATTCATTTTTGCAGTTTGATTTCTATGCCAGCATTTAAAGATTTGTTGTGGATTGACCTCTACTGGCTGTGAGGTGCAGTAAGTGAAAAGAAAAGAGGTTGAGGTTGTGTAAGCAGTGTTCAGCATTAACAAAAACATCAGGACTTTTTTGTCACAAGTTCAAAACATAGCACCATACCAGCTGCTGTCAAGAATATTAGCTCCATCCCAGCCAAAGGCAGTACAAGTATGCAACTGAGAAGTATGATTCTGACACCATACATCTTACATCATAGAATAACTAGAATATAAGGGCCTCCTTACTCAAACTGAGCTTCTAATATGTCTCTAAACAGAGCAGCATTCAGGATATTATATTAATCACAATTATTAGTAATTTTCCTTAGGAAAGTAATATTGACAGAATCAAGACAGGCTATTTAATTCTTCCCCTTCTGAGTATAAGCAGCCATACTTGAAATCTATTCTAGGTGTATCTGCAGATGCTGTACTATGGATATAAATTAGAATTAATTTTTTGTGTATCTGCAAAAAAAAAGAATTTTTCTACTAAAATGAAGACTTCAAGCAACAGTAAAAGATTGCAATGACAGGTCAAGGGAATTTTGCATTAAAATGTCTGTGTGATCTAGGGAAAAATGAGACTTTTATGCTTCAAAAATTAAATTAAAGCTGCTGCTTGCAATTAACCAGTACTGAATACCAGATTCCTGATTGCTGATACTAGAGGACCTAATTTTATGTGCAGGGTGCATCTATCACACAGTATGAGACAGTTTTAACTCTATGGAAGGTGGCTGTAGCATCTAACACCACACTGTGTGTACTGTTCACCTGCCAGCTCCCTGATATTTCAGAGAAAGACACTGAAAAAATAAGACAAATAGCACTTCCCTCTCTTCAAAACACTTCAAATATACCATCTGATGCACCTTATGCACCTGCAGGAGACAATTTCCTATCTGACACTGAGGGAATCAACAGTAATTCCAGAACATAGTATTTAAATAACATAATACAGACATGGTTCAGGAAAAATATACTGCATGTGATCATCAGTCATTGCACAGTCAGTAAAAATCAGAAAAACAAAGAAGTAATAGAATAGTATTATTTCAACCTGCAAATTAATGTAGATCTCTTAATAATTGTATGCCATTATTATGCTGTTACAACTCTATTCTTTGCACTGTTTTTCAGAATGCAACTTGATTGAAGGAGAAGATCATGTAGAAGTGAATGGAGAAATTTTCCAGAAGCCCTTTGTAGAAAAGCCAGTTAGTGCTGAGGACCACAATGTTTACATTTATTATCCAACATCTGCTGGGGGTGGAAGCCAGAGGCTCTTTCGAAAGGTGAGAGCTATTGAAAAGCTTTAGGTGTCTAACAGGATTGCAGAGTAATTCTGTCATGTCCTTCTTGCTTAGGAATAGAGAAATCAGAGACATTTCAGGAGAACATATAGATTGAATGAAGGCCTTTGTTTTTTTCAGTAGATGATTAGCTACTGCAGATTCTTAGCACATACCATGAATGTACTTTTAGAATCTTACAAAAATCTTTTGGCAATGGTGAAAAGTTTGCTTCATTTGGTGCATGAAATGTTTTCTCAGTACAAGTGTGTTATTTTAGGTAGTTTCAAAATTTCTCAAGCAGTACTCTTTGAATTTTTTAATGGAAAAATACATCTTTCAGATTGGCAGCCGGAGCAGTGTTTATTCTCCTGAAAGCAGTGTGAGGAAAACAGGCTCTTATATTTATGAGGAATTCATGCCTACAGATGGAACTGATGTGAAGGTATGACAACGGCACATTCTTACTTATATTTAGAACAATCAAGTGCTCAAAGAACTTGTCAGTTTTAAATCTTGGTTAAGGATTAATTTTAATTGAGTCTTAATACGGTTCATAAGTAAAAAATGCAATTCTGATTCTAGCTAAACATAGTACTTGTAATGTAGAGCAGCTGTGCTTGTATTGTTAGAGTCAAGTGTTAGAGGCTTTCTACCCAATATATTGTCTTTCTTTTTTTGTATTGTATTAGTGCCAGAATGGCATCTTCTTTCCTGTGCTAACAGGTGCACCTAGATATTTTATCTAAAGGTTAAAGGTTACAAAGATGTCTAATTGAAGTGGATCTTAATATGCTAATAAGCAAAAGTTACTTGCTAAAATTTTATGGAGTCAAAGAAAAGAACCTTTGTGGACCTTATCCTTAATAATTTTCACTCTTTTGTTTATTTAGATTCTTAACAGAGGTATTAGGTACCATAAGAGAATGCTAAAACAGAGCAATAACAAAGTAGGTGTTAAACCAGCCTTGTGTGAAGATTACTTCCTTTCCCTTTGTGTTCATATTGGCCTATTAAGCTCTTTCCAAAACATGTGAAACCAATGTTTTAAAATCTACGTAAGAGATCGCTGTATTTAGACAAAAAAGTGCAGGTGTAGAGAGTGTGAGGTCTAATCCAAAAAGCCTTTTTATTAACTGCAGTCAGCTTGTTGGTATCACTTGGTGGTGCATGAGGGGAATACTCTTTTCATGTTCTCAAAAAAATGCCCAGGTGTACCCTTCTGAAGGTTACTCTATGCAACACTTTGCAGTACATTAATTTGTGTTTACACGTGTTTGTGTAATAGCTTTACAAACTTTCTGCAAAGATTCTTGCAACAAGAAGAGCTGCAAATATTGCCAGAGGATTAGGGACTATTTTGATTAATTGCAGTGTAGTCATCAAGCAGCAGTGGGCTTTTAATACTCCAGATAAGTAATGGATTTTTTAATAAGACTATCAATGTTATATTAGGCAGTTCCACTAACCTTACCCTCTTGCTTGAATTCACTAAATTGGCAGTATTGGTACTCATCTGCCTTAGCTGAATATTTTTTTAATCAATGCTTGGAGTTTGTTTTTTTATTTAAAGAAACTGAAGCTATTTTTAAGAACTGCTGACAAATCTTGTCTAGCATATGCCCCAAACCCTTCAGTGACCATCAATACTGTAGTAGAGAGATAACACAATTGTTCTCTCAAGCTCCTGCCTTGTCATCATAAAGCTGGGCAGATCCTTGCTTTGTTTAGTCCTGTCTAAAATGTAAGCATACTTTTAAAATTAAGAGAATAACTTAATCCAGCAGCCAGATTTCCGTAAGTAAACTGAAATAATTCTCAACCTGTTCTTCAGATTCTGCAAATGTTTTGGAGAAGAAAACATTTATATCTCTGTACCATCATAACTGAGAAATTTATTTTTATTAATTGAGTTTTTATAATTACTCTTTTTCATGTTTTATCCCAGGCTGTCAGTAAATGATGTGTGTTCTCTGAAGGCAGAGAATGCCACTGAGGAAGATACTTTAGTTGACCTTTTCAATAATGGAAGTAGATAGTATCTTTTGATGTTGTTGTCATGTTTGATTTATATCTATGCATTTTGCAAATTTATGCAACATAATTTAAATACACTGGATGAAGAGGTCCTGTTTTTCAATACAGGTGTACACAGTAGGTCCAGACTATGCTCATGCTGAGGCCCGGAAGTCTCCAGCTCTGGATGGCAAAGTAGAACGAGACAGTGAAGGAAAAGAAGTGAGATATCCAGTCATTCTGAATGCAAGAGAGAAGTTAATTGCTTGGAAAGTATGCCTTGCCTTTAAGGTAAGCTGATTGCTTTCCTATCTGATCAAACATTTAGTGTTAATTAATTGTTTGTTACATGAAACTTCCGTAGGGTTTTGGTGAATGAGCCAGCAGTGGTAATTAGTGCAGAACTCCTTGGAAGGTGGAAAGTTAAACTTCCATATGACATCTTTTTTTAATCAAGAAGGATTTTTCCTTTGATGTTTTGAAAAGTTCTGGATAAGTTGCTTGTGTTGCATTAGTTCCCTGAATTTACATGTTGCTATTGTGCTTTGCTAGCCCACAGTGTATCTATTTTGTGTATAATATTTTCACACATTTTTATAATAGTTTCTAAGTGAGCAAAACACACTTTCAATACAGTTTTTGTAACTTCTGTTACCTAGTATTTTCATCGGGTACAGATTCATTGTTAATTTGGTACTTATATGATTAAGTACTTACTTGAAGGAATTGATACTAATTTGATAGTTTCAGTTTTTGTATCATTTTAAGATTGCTGTATAGTTACAAGGATTCTTTTGTTCAAAACATCGTTCAGTCTCTTGCCCTCCTTTCACCTGTTTTATAAGAAGTTTTCAGTCTGTCTTATTTACCTGTATGTGACTATGATGGCATTCTGTAGGGTGTAGGCCTCTATCAGCAAAGTGGGCTTGGAGATCTTAACAACCACTCTGTTGAAATAGCTTCTAGTATCCTCTACTAATGATGTCAATAGTATGTTAATGTCAAAACTATCTTGTAAAATTTTAACAAATACAGTTTTTCTTTTTTTTTTTGTAATTTCTAGCCTGCCATCCTTAAAAACTATTATGTAGTGGGAAACCATTGTCAGAAAGGGGGACTTATAGGCCCACAGTTGCTGTAAGTCTTGAAGTTTGTGCTCTTGTGAACTTGACCTTCAATACTAATACTGCTAGGGATATGCAGGAAGCATAAAATCAAGTTGGGCATAAAAAGTTAAAAACAGGAAGATGTTTGCATGATGTGGGTGAACATAACATGGAACTGACATATGGTAGTAAGTGTAAAGTGTGATGTGTTTTTGTCATGTTTTCAGATGAATACCTGATTAAAATATAAAATTTGTTTAGAATAAGCAATCCTAAATCACTTGAACTTTTATTCTTTAAAACAGCAAACAGTTTGTGGCTTTGATTTGCTACGTGCAAATGGACAGTCCTATGTCTGTGATGTGAACGGCTTCAGTTTTGTGAAAAACTCCATGAAATACTATGATGATTGTGCTAAGATACTGGGGTAAGAGTTTTCTGATTTATTTCAGATTTGCTTATTAATTCCTTTGCATACTATTTTAGTTTATGTACTGCCAAATTTCTTATTACTATTATTTGTTTATTGCTATTAATTATTTCTTATTATTATTAATATTAATTCTTATTAGTATTAATTATTAGTTATTTATTAAAATTAAATAATGCATTAAATGTAATTAACAGAAACAATTAAAAAATCCTAAGAGAATCCTAAGTCAATAAATAAATACTAAATTAATTCCTTATTCATAAAATCATCCCAAACATCTGAGATTTTAGAAGTGTTAAAGCTAACTGAATAAGTATTTTGAAATCAAGATTAAGTTCTTAAAGGTACCTGAGATCTTTTCAAGTAGTGAAGCACCACTGGGTGGTTGTGATTGATGCAGTTAAATGTGTCCAAATCGCTGTACATTGTCCTTGATCTGAAGTTGGTGTATACTTGTGGATTTCATACTTGTAAAACCCAACTGGAATAGAATCATGGCGTCTTCTATCATACCATCTTGTCTCTGCCACTGGAGGCAAAAAAAGGTATAATGAGGGATCATATAGAACTAGGTATAGAACTCCTAAGGGAATGTTATCCTTAAAGTAGGCTAAGCCCATTGTGACTGGCTTTACAGTAAGATTGCACTAATGAGATACAGCATGACTTTTTGCATGATTTAATGGTCTGGAATCTTATTATGTGAAGGATTTTGCAAGTTTTTTCAAAATTTTTTAGCTTGCTCTACTTTAAGATGGACCTTTTTTCCCCCCTCTGTGTTACTGCTTCTTACGTAGGTATTACTCTGAAGTACAGTGTATTTTGATGAAATATTCGTGAAACAAAACATTATATGTACCACCTTTCTTGAGGTAGAGACTTCATTGCCATTTTATAGTTAAAATGAAACTCTGTACCTATTTTTCCAGTTTTATCACAGAAACTTTTAAGAAGCTACTGGTAATGAGAATGGCTTGGTGATTATTAGAAACTTTTAGTTAGGCAGTGAGGCCAATTGTCTGCATATATAAATGAACACGAATAATTCTTATCCAAGGAGCTCTTTTAGGAACTGGAGTTGAAAAGCTGACGTCTCTTACAAATACAGGGCCAGTAGTCTAATGCTTCTGTAGCAGTTGTAATAGGTCTAAATTATTAAGTGGTCTTTATTATGTAATTAAAGAAAACTATGTATCTATACATTCATGGCTGCTAGTACTCTAAAACTGCAGTAATAAAAGTGCATATATAGCATCTGTTTGGAGTTTGCATGTGTTGTGTAAGCTGTGCTTTAAACTTACTTGATTTGTTTTTTTATTCTTAACTCCTATTTTAGAAATATCATAATGAGAGAACTTGCTCCCCAATTTCAAATACCGTGGTCAATTCCTTTGGAAGCTGAAGACATTCCTATTGTGCCAACCACTTCTGGAACAATGTAAGAAAATAGTAGCTACACCTGAATTGTACAAACTCCCAATGTAACTTTGGTGTGAATCTTTTTTTCTCTTTGCAAGGTGTGCCCACGTTGGTCTGTGAATGCTTGCTTTGTGTGCTGAAAACAAGGAAGGAATCACAATTGCTATAACAGCAGTCAGAGTTTCTCACCCTTAGTCAAGCTGAGTACAGAACAGCAGATTTTATTAGTTTAGCATCTTTTATACATAGCTTCCACTGCTAATCATTGTTCCAGCACCAGCTTCATATGTGCTTCTAATAAACATGCTCTCTCATTTAATTATCCTCAAAATTGTTGTTTTAAAAACTACTCAAAATAGATGTCCTATAGTTACCTAAGTCTTAAAATCAGTACTTATATTTTATACCTTACATTATTTTCAGTTAACGTTATATTCTTGCATATGCTTCCATCATTTCTGTAGTTATGTCAGATGACTACAACTTTGTCAATTGTCTTGATTGTAGTTGGTTTAATATTAAATAAAAGACCATTGTGTACAGACTTGTGAAATACAACCCTTGAAATTTCAGGATGGAGCTTAGATGTGTTATAGCTGTAATACGCCATGGGGATCGAACACCAAAGCAAAAAATGAAAATGGAAGTAAAACATCAGAGGTAAATAAAATCTTGGTAAAAGTATTTTAGAGTATAGGATTTTGGGACTAAGCAAGCAGTGAATTAACCAGGAATTGCACAATTGCAAGTTGCTTTTTGTTTTGTTTTCCTCTAAATCTAACAGTTTTTAGATACTACAAATACCACTACAAGTATGCACCTCTCTTTCTAACAGGACTGTCAACTTACTTGTGCAGATTTCTTTCAACACATGCTGTGCCTTGTGTACTGTACTCTGTGATTTTATGGAAAATGCATTTGTGTCTATAAATGTCTTTATTAAAAACAATGCAGCAGAGAATATTTCTAGACCATGGCTTCCACTTTCTGCTTCTTATAGCTATTCTTGTATGCAATGTCACATTATTTTTCTAGTTACTTTTGTCAAAGTTTAAAGAGTCTGTATTTCTGGTAGATACCATCTTTATATTAGCATTCATAAGACAACTTACATAATTGACCTGGAGCTAGGTGTAGTTCCAGTAAAAAGGAATTATTTATTTTGGGACTAGATTCTTGCATTCAGAATATGTTGAAGAAGAGCGGGACTGCTCACTTGGTATTTTTGGTCCCTGCTTCTGTTCAGGATCATTCTTGAAGATTAATAGCTGCATATTCAAATAGTATATAATTCAAATATATAGACTATCCTCTTGTTTTTAATACATAGAAAGTCAATAAGAGACTGATTAAGTCATTTTTAGTGCTCTTATCTCTAATGCATTAAAAACTTCTGAGGAGATGGGATTTGAATAAAGCTTGGTTTGACTTCCATATTGCAGGTTTTAACCTGACTTTCAAATATGGTAGAGGTACTAATTTTAGATCACTTTAAGAGCCTCCTGTTTGAGTAGTAGTAATTTAATTTATTAATGGAATTTCTAAATTATTTTTCTTTATCTTAAAGATTTTTTGATCTCTTTGAAAAATGTGATGGATATAAATCTGGAAAACTGAAACTGAAAAAACCAAAACAGTTGCAGGCAAGTTTGTCTTTATTTTTTTATTGTAATATTTTGTAAATAGAAATCTATTTATTTAATTAAATCCTACGATTCCTTCCTTTAGGAAGTACTTGATATAGCAAGGCAGCTCCTTGTAGAACTTGGGCAAAACAATGATTCTGAAATTGAAGAAAGTAAAGCAAAACTTGAACAGCTAAAGACTGTGTTGGAAATGTAAGTGTCTAATTTTCAGGCTTCATAGCAATAAAGTTATATCTGCTGTTTTGACTTGTTCCACCAGTTATTATATGGATTGCAATGTTATCAAATATAATAATTCAAGCACAATGTTTTTGAAGAGAAGGGATGTAATGTATGAAATGGGCCATTGATCTGGCTTTTTTCTTCTTGTCTTTTTAATTTAGCTCATTGCTGTATCTAGTGTCTCAGTATACATTCAAAAAGAAAAGGTTACTTTTGTTTATGTTGAATTTCACCTTCTTGAATGTTTTTAAAATGAAAATACTTGTAAGCATGGTCTGCTTCTTGCAGTGTGACATAACGACTTCTGATAAAGCTATCAGTAAGAGCTATCACCATGCTTGTCTACTTACAATAAACTTTGAGGATTGAAGATAAGTAAGTCTGTATACTAAGTCTGAAATGTTTGGTAACAAAAAAAACACCTTTAAAAACCCAACAAAACAAGGAAAACAACAGAAAAAAAAAGCTTCAAGGTTTATTAAAGATCTGGGCTCTTAGAATGATGGTATGTGAAATGGTAATAGGTATGGTAATAGGTAATAGGAATTTTTAATTTAAAAAATATCAAGGAACAGAGAATTATTATTGATATTTATAATAATTGTTTTAAATACTGAGTTTTGCTTGAGAACTTAATGGGCTATAAAACCAGTAGCCATCTACACTGTGAGACCAGTTTCTGGATACTGATAGCCACTGTAGTTTTGGATCTCAATAGATAAATTACTTGTGCCATGTCCAGTACTGCTTGTTGTTGGGGCGGGGGGAGGGGGGGTCCAGTTTTATGTTCAGTTTTATAATTGTAGAATTAGATAGTATTTTAAGATGTTTCATTATAGCATAGTTATTATTGCTAATTCTGTACTTGTTGAGTTAATGTTTATTCTAAGGACTGCTTCAATAAACATTGGTAAAAAGCAGAAATCATTGACCAAGAGAGATTTATTATATCCTGTTACAGGATTTTAGCACTTTTGGAGGAAAATATTTAAAATGTTTCTCTCCCTCTTCCCCTCTCATTTTTCCCTGTTCCTGCTTAAGGTATGGGCATTTTTCAGGCATAAACCGCAAAGTTCAGTTAACATATCTTCCTCATGGCTGCCCTAAGACTTCCAGTGAAGAGGAAGGTATTGTACTACTTTTGTACCTAATCACTTAGTATTATGTGTATATAAATAGTCATGGACTACTAGTATAACATGTCTTGATGTTAAAAAGAGGGGAATATTCTGTTTTGAAAGCATGTATAGTTAACAGATATTCACAGTATTTTAATTTGAATTGTACACCTAAAACTCTGTAGTAAATTTGTCTTCTAACCCTGCTCTTGTGCAACAGAACAGTAACATGAAAAGAAACTTCAGTGATGCACCAAAGTGCTGTTTTGAGCCAGTGCATGAAAATCTCACTCAATAATTAATGTCTTTAAAACAGTTACAAACTGTAGGGTGTTTAGCATCCAATTTGTTTTAATTTTTCTGTTTTGATTTACTTTTTGCTTCAGATTTGTGCTAAATATTTTTCATGTGTATTCTTTTTATAGTTTTATTACTTCAGTTTTCTCTGTTTAAAGTGCCTATTTAGTTCACCAGGTCAATATGTCCTTAATGTTAGAATATTATTAAAGATTCATAATGTTGGGGAGATTCTTTGATGAAGCTTCTCATAGACCAAATACCTTTTGTTCATTTGGAAAAAAAAACAACTATATACTTAACTACTAAGCTTTTCTCCCTGTGTAAAATTAGATAATAGAAGAAATGAGCCATCACTGCTTCTGGTTCTAAAATGGGGAGGAGAGTTGACTCCTGCAGGCAGGGTTCAAGCAGAGGAACTTGGAAGAGCTTTCAGGTGTATGTATCCAGGTGGACAAGGTAAAAAGAAAATTATCATAATAATTTAAAAAACAAATAAATTGAGTATCATAAATCACTTCTGAAGATAATCAAGTGCAAGATGAGAGCTTGAGCAAAATGTTTATTTGGTAGGAGATTATGCTGGATTTCCTGGATGTGGATTACTTAGATTACATAGCACTTATCGACATGATCTCAAAATCTATGCTTCTGATGAGGGACGAGTTCAGATGACTGCAGCAGCTTTTGCAAAGGTACGATGTGAAATGGTATTTTCATTTCTAAAATTCTGATATTCTCAGGTTTGTATTTTCTTTTGAAGTCTGGGAGAGATTTACAGTTTATTAGAAAAAAGTATTTTCAAAGAGTAGTTCATTGTGAAAAAGTATCCAAATAATGTGCCAAACATTTGAAGTGCTTGGAGCAGATGAAGACAGTTTTTAATTAAACAGCCCTGTCTGAATCACTTTTGTCCTCTTCTTCATAAGATTCTGTGAACAAGCTAAAGTCTGCTCACTTGAAATCCTGGGCTCTAATGCAAGTATTTGTCTTCTTCACTTCTCCATACATCTGTTATAACATCAGATTTCAATTACCAAGACTGCTATCTACCTTTACTTTCCTGGCCCTTGTGAATAACAGGGCCAGGGCAATGCCTGCACTCAATAGTTCATTAGTAACTTCTGTGAAAGAATTGTCCTAGGTGTTTTCCAGAAATCTTGCTTCCTTGTCTCTTGCAATATTGCCATAGAGGTATCCGGGGCCAAGAGTACTCATGGAAACAAGGCCTGCAATTAGCTGGCTTTCTCCACTTGTGTTGAGGTTTCATCCACTTCCGCTTTTAAACTGGAGGCCAACCACGATACTGTGCCTCCAAAAGGTCCTGTAGGTAGTTACAGCAAAAGTCCATTCATGTGAACTACTCTACAATATCTCTGTGATGTGTATTAACTTAAAGCTCTACAAGTCTTCAGACTTCCTGTTCCTCCTATTTATTTCTATGCTGCATATATTTGTACAGAAATATTTCAGTAATCTGACCTGCTTTCCCTTGGTCAGCAGGCTTGAAGAGACACCACACAATTTCCTTCTTTATTCCAGAGGCCTTTCATTGCCAGAAAAGTCACAAAAGTTTCCAGCCTCCTTCATTTTGGAATTCTCCATTCACCTCTTGTCAAAGCATTTGATTGTTCTGTGACTCACATGGCTTGGATTTTTGCCTCTGTAGAGTCTCTGTAAGACCCTTCCTATCTGCTGTTTAACCTGCCAGATGCTATTTGGTTTGCAAGCCCTTTCTGTAGCTCCTCTCTGGTAACACAAGCCCTTGAGCAAAGCATGTCACCCACAAGTCAGGCAGCTGTTGCTTCCAGCCTCAGGAAGAGGGCACCTGCACTCCCTACAATCCAAGACCTGAACAGCTGGTGTTGGGAAGCATTATCTGTGTCCTGTCACCATCACTGTTGAACCATCCTGTATCAATCCTGCAGATTAGCAGTGTATAGGGACCCATTTCTCTGTGAGAATATGCATTAAGCCACTGTTTATCTAACCTATAGCCAAGTGATACCATCTTGAATTTAAATTAGTGTTAAAGGCATTTTTTTTTAAGATACTAATTTTTTCATCTTCATCTATTTGCCTGAATAATTATATTGTTTGTTTCAGGGACTACTGGCCTTAGAGGGAGAGCTGACTCCTATTCTTGTCCAGATGGTAAAAAGTGCTAATATGAATGGTCTGTTGGACAGTGACAGTGATTCTTTAAGCAGCTGTCAACATCGTGTTAAAGCAAGGCTCCATGAAATTCTCCAGAGAGACAGAGAATTTACTGCTGATGACTATGATAAGGTTTGATATGATTTATTTCTCATTAAATAAAATAAATAACTCTGGAAATTCCTGTGCAAAAGTACTGAGCAGTGATTTTATGTATCTGTTCTGCAAAATTATTTGTGTGGTTGCAAATAGTTTGAAGTGAAAAGGTGGTTGTACCAATTGTGGCTGTAGATATTTCATCCTGCAATTTTGGTAATCAGAATAGCTACAAACTTTGAAGTAGGAGTGGACAGGGATCTCATTTGTAAATCTTTTAAACTGTTCATTAAAATATTTTAATTATTCAAGAAATGACATTATATTGTTTGCATTTTTTCTAGTCTTTACTTTGACAGTGTGTAGCAAACAAAATGCTTTCCTACCTACTGCTGCTGTTTCAGTTTTTAATCTGATCAAAGGTCTTGTTTTTGACTTAAAATACTAAGTTACTGAAAACCAGTAGAATATTTTCAGTGAAATGAAATACCTCATTAACATTCTAAACTACCACATAGTAATATAGTTTATGTTGACTTAGTACAGACGATGTCATTGTTCCTGGTTTTAAATGTGTTGTTTCTTGTAGTTAAAAAATTTCTTTCTCTTTCAATTGCTGATACCCTGTCTCGTATAACACCTAAATGCAAGTCCTCAAATGAGGTTTAAGCTTAATCTGCTATTTTTAAAACTTATTGAGAGCAAATTAATTAGGAGTAATATACTGTGTGTAGATTCATTTAAATATATAAGGTATCATGCAAAGAACTCCTAGCAGGGGATTCAACACTAATTGGAAAATGTAAGGATTTATTGGTGTCAGTAATAAAGATACAATAAGGTTTGAAATTGGCTAAAACTAATAGAGTGCTCTTCAGTCATTGAAAGTTACTAACCTTTGGGATCAAAAAGCAATAACAACTTGGAGGGGGGTCCATTTATTTGCGTAGTTTTTTCAATTTACTTGTGATTTAGGAAAATTGTGTGGGGTTTATTCCCGTGCCTCCCTCCCTATTATGTATAAATAATCAATTTATTGATTTAAATCATAATAGGAAGATAGGAAATGCTTAGTGTTAGGTAGAGAGCAGAAGTTTTCCACATCCAAATTACTCTGTCCATTTCAGGAGACTGAGGAGAGTGCAAATAAGTGTGTATTTTGTGTATAAATTACTGTTTCATATCATAGGTCAGTTTGAATTCTGCAGACTTTTCTGAAAAAAATGAGACAAAGCCTCATGTATTGTTTTAATGACACACACCTTGATGGTGATAGTTTGTAGCTTTTACCATTTCTATAACTGATTCAGTTCTGAAGAAATCTCATATGTTGTTGCTATATGGGCATGTAAAGGCTTTCTTTTTGTTTTTGTGTCCTGCAGTCCTGTAGAAACAAAAACCTATAACAGGAACGGGCAAATTTTTTTAAGGTACCAGTTATTATTGCAAATCTGGTGCCTATAGTGCAAATAATATTTTGTGAGGTGTGTAGCTTAATGACAACATTTCTAACAGAATTTATTTTTGTGAGCTTTTAAATACAGAAGTTATTTGAAAGGAAAATATGGAAGCTTGCTAAGTATATACAAAGTTCTAAACATCTTCCCAATTTTCCTTTCTTGGAATAAAAGAAATGGTTTTATGAATTCTTGTAGTTATTCACATTTACTGTATGGAATTAGCTGCTCTATGAATTCTGATTGCCTTTGAATCTCTAGTAAATAGTACTGCGTTTTGATGTATTTTCTTAATGCCTCAAAGGTAGTAGTTGATAAATTATGAAAAATATTCTTAGCAACCTGCTTGAGTTCTTTTTCTCCTGTATTTTGTATCTTTGACATGTTCCATCTTATCTCACCAGGTCTTTCAAATCTAGTCTGTTCAGTTAATTTTGTGTTTATCTCAAATTGCAGCTCACTCCATCTGGAAGCATCTCACTGATAAAATCAATGCAGGTTATTAAAAATCCTGTAAAGACATGTGACAAGGTCTATTACTTGATACAGAGTTTGACTTCTCAGATCAGGCAGAGAATGGAAGACCCAAAGTCCGCAGGTACTGAAATGTTTTTGTACTTGTATGTAGTTTCTCTCGTTAACATACATGAAAGAGAAATATAGCATAACTATTCTTCACTAAACTCACTTTTAGCAGAACATTTGGCAACCAATAATGGATTAAGTATTTTCACAGTCTGATTTCATATGCATAGCTTTTAAGCAAAAGGCATGAGGAAAATGTGGTTGTATTGCAGGTGAGGTCTCTTTGGTCTTCAGAAATGCCAATGTTTGCAGAAATTCTTGTCATAGTTATTTGAAAATCAACATTCCACAAAAGTAATAGGAAAAATTGATGGTACTAACACTAATTTATATAGGTACATCTTACATTTTAGGGCCAGTAGTGCATTTCTGCAGCAATGTGTTTTACTATCATAGTGGAGCTTTGTAATAGTGATGCTTTCAGCATTAAAATTAATTTTATGCTCTGCTATCCCTTTTTCTGAATAGCAACTTATTTTGGTCCCTCTATAATTCAGTTGTTACTACCATGTAATTAAAATGTCCTTTTGTTACTTGAATTGCCTTAATTATTTACAAGAGATACATGTCTATGCAGATATTCAGCTGTACCACAGTGAAACTCTAGAACTGATGTTGCGCAGGTGGGCCAAGTTGGAAAAAGACTTCAAAACAAAAAATGGAAGATATGATATTAGCAAAATTCCTGATATTTATGACTGTATAAAATATGATGTACAACACAATGGATCGTTAAAATTAGAAAACACAATGGAATTATATAGGCTTTCAAAGGCTTTAGCTGACATTGTGATTCCTCAGGTAAGCATTTTCAGTTGTTAAATAGAAGAAAGTTGAGAATAAATGTTTTTTTTTAAATTTTTGTGAAAATGTCTGTTTTGTATTTTCTTTTGAAGTTCTCACATTTTTGCAATAATAGAAGGTTTTAACATTATATTTTATCTTTCAGTAGCAAGCTGACTGGGATTTTTTCAGAAAAATTTGATTCATAATTAATTAAGCTGTGTTTAGGGTAATTTTTTTTTTTCTAATTTATAGCATGAACATGTCTTCTTCCTTTACAGCAGTGTATTAAAATAAAATGGTTCATCTTCACCATTCATTGTAGATTTAGCAGTTGCCTTTGTGAATAACTCTGTTTTCTGAAATTGCTTTTAATTTCATTTCTCTGGCTTATAGAAGTTTCATTTCTGGTCTCTGTCCAAATGACAATGTTAATCCTAATCTATGCAATTTAACTAATTTTAAAAATTTTTAATTTAAAAAGATCTTTCTGCGTCTTCAAAATGGTAAGACTTCATTATGTGAATGTAGACATTATATTTCATAGAATTTAAGGCCAGAAGTAGACAAGTTAAACTTACCTGCTCTGTAGGCTGTTAAACTAAATTTAGCTCTAAAATCTTGGAAATGGCAGGTCATGAAATTGATTTGTGGTTACAGGACAGAACAGACTAAAGCTTTCCCCAAGCATCCCTGCAATGACAGAGCAGTGTTGTAACAGAGGTGTTTATCCATATTGTATGCAGTATGTGAAGGAAATTCTTCCTCTCCCCATCTCTCAAACTCCTTGACATAGAAGACAAAAATAGTAGTGATGCTTAGAATGCATTGTCATGTGTGGGTCTGTTAAGCTGAAATTTTGAACAGAAAGTTAGAGAAGCGGTGAAAATGATGACACATACTGAAGGAAGAAGAGCAAAGAAAACTTGATAGCCTACATAATGCAAAGGAAGAGTGCTTGTGTTGCTCTCTTGGGTAACAAGAAGATTCATTCTAACTTTCATACCATGTGCACCACAGAGTATGAAGCTCCTGGAAGAACATAATCTTAAATATTGATGATACTACAACACTTAATATCACCAGTAATTTCCCAGTTGTACATAAATACCGTGTGTGTTATTATTTGGCATAAATGGAAGCTCTTCTCTGGGGGAGCTTACTCCAGACTAAGACAGACTTACCAAATAATAGTGACTGTTAAAATAAAGGAAAAGAAACAAAAAACCCTCAATGTTTTGGGGGCAGGATAGGAGATGGAGATGGTAACAAGAAGGTAGAATGACTCCATAGATATTATGGTTAAGAAAACGAGCTTTATCATACCAGAAGGTAAATCCACTTCTTTGGTTTAACTAGTGAAGGAAAAACTTTTTGTCTGTATCAAGTCAAACAGCAAAAGGCAAAACTTGTAAGTTGAACCTACATGATTAATCATATGTGTAGTAAAAATGTTTTAAAAAATTGTTTGTAGCCAGAACAAACTAATAGATTACTAATTTGCTTTAATATAGAAACTTTGAGTTAGACGGCATATTAAACTTTAACTGAATTTTAAAAGTCAATTTGTTTTTACACAGGAATATGGTATTTCTAAAGCTGAGAAATTGGAGATTGCCAAAGGTTACTGCACTCCCCTAGTCAGAAAAATTCGTTCTGATCTTCAGAGAACTCAAGATGATGACACTGTAAATAAGCTTCACCCTCTGTAAGCCAGTTACTTTTTTACATGGTCACATTAATTACCATAATAATTACAACTATTCTGTAGGTTTCAAATTTGAGATATCTTTTTAGCTCACAGATATTAGAAAGTATAACTTATTTATTTATTAACAGTATTTTAAAAATAAGGGCACATCTTATCATGGTCTAATAACATTTTTCTTTTTTTTTTAGCTATTCCAGAGGTGTTATGTCCCCAGAACGCCATGTTCGTACCCGTCTGTATTTCACCAGTGAGAGTCATGTCCACTCTCTGTTATCCACCCTTCGTTATGGTGCCTTATGTGACGTAAGTTTCTCTGTTGAAACCCTGATATTTTGAGAGGAACCTGAATCTTCCTCTGACTGTATCCATTGAAATGTTAAACATCTTTGAAATTTATCACATTTTTTTCAAACACTTTATTTTCTATTACTTATGCAGAAACATATTGCAAATTGCATATTAATTAGCATGCTAATGACCAACAAAGTAATGCTGTGTTCCATTGGCAGTATGTATTAGAATCAAAATAGATGTGGAAAGGCTAGATATTTTTTTTTCGTCTTCTGTTGTCACCAATAATTCTTCCAACTTTTATTTTCAAGTTACGATTCAGGGTTCTCTTGAATTTACTTTTGCACCGGCATACTATTTTTGGCCATTGATATATTGTCAAGATGTCCATACCTAATTTCAAGACTGCTCATAGAATACAAATTTCCTCCTATCCAGTGAATTTTCTTACTTTCCTATACTGTTAGAGAATACTACAGAGGTGCATTGTTTTCCATCTGATAGTCTTTGACACTGAAAAAGACAAGGTCTCCAGATTCAGAAATTACTTAAACTGAGCTCTTGGAGCATGCAGCATGCTTGCATACATGCAGCACCACAAACCTATCAGCTTGTAAGATACCATTTGACTTATACACTACTTTTCAAATTGTCATATTGACATACTTGCTTCTGGTAATGGATGACTAAACTCAGTGATGGCAAAAGCATTTATACACCTCTGTGAAATGCTACAACAGGTACACTCTAAGTTTTAGTCTGATAAACTTTTAATTTTTCTTTAAGGTAGATTACTAAATGGTTTCTTTCCTACAGCATGAAAAAGGTGACTTCATTTAAGTAGTTTGGGATGTGATGGTTGTACCTCCTCCATCTACTAGAAAGCTTCATTTACTCTGTTTGGCTGATATCTTTGTTAGTGTGATATCTAAAACCATTTTTCACAATATACTAGCTGACATGAATTTATTGCAATATTAGCAGTTCGCATCAGGAGAATTGAAAACAGTGCCTGTCTCTACATATGATCATTGGTAAAATATCATGAAAGACACACTGAAATAACACATGAAAAGTTTGCTCTTCACTTTTCAGTCATTTGATAAGCAATTTTAAGTCACTCATGGACGTTCATAATCTTTTTGTACCTCTGCATTTTCTTTCATTATGATTAGATTTGGGGGAAAAGTGAAATCATCAGTCTTTTTAAAGAAAATAGCTGAGTTTTACGTGTTTTTTTTCCTCCATAAGGAATCAAAAGATGAACAATGGAAACGAGCTATGGATTACTTAAATGTGGTCAATGAACTAAATTACATGACACAGATTGTAATCATGCTCTATGAGGATCCAAACAAGGTATTTAAAAATGGATAACTATCTTCAGGAAATTAGTAGTGCTGAGCTATGTATTAAAGTATAAATCTATTATTTTACTTCAGGAACTTTCTTCGGAAGAACGTTTTCATGTAGAGCTGCATTTCAGTCCAGGAGCTAAAGGCTGTGAGGAAGATAAAAATCTACCATCTGGATATGGATACAGACCTGCCTCCAGAGAGGTAATAATTATGCCTTTCTATAAAGCAAAACTTAGGTTTATTGGATATGGACATACCTAAAATAAACACTTTAAAATTGTTATGTAAAAAAATTCAAGTGTGGGTTTTTTGCGGTAGAAGAACATGCAGTAAAAGATAAGTAGTCCCAATATTTTCCATTTTGAATGGGCAGTGAGGTGAAGTACACAGATAATTTGGATGTTCTAAAGCTTTGCTATAACTTTTACTAGAAATACAAAATACTCTAAGTGATATCAACATCAGAGTGTCACATTAATACTATTCTGGGAACTGGAAGACTTATTTAAGAAAGTAGTTTGGCATGTTTATGGATACATATTGTTGAGGAAGGATTGATATTTTCCAAGGTATTTGGTCAGGTAAGTGGAGTTACGATTACTTTTTGAGAAAGGAATAAGAGCAAAGCTTGGCTGGAGTTCTTCTAAATAGAAGAAGACAAAACAGATTATTATGTGGATTATTAAAAAGTTTTTCAGTAAAATGTGATTTACTTCTTGTATTTTTAAAATCAGCATGTTTTCTGTTTATGCAGAATATTTATTTAAGAGCCACTTCTGTCTACTTGTTTGAAGGTGTGTAGACAAATTGAGAATTAATTATGTATTTTCTGTAGAATGAAGGCTCAAAGAAAACCTCTCATAGAAATGACAGCGATGAGGAGGTTCACGCTTCGAAACGAGATGAAACAGATCGCTCAGTAGTGATGTTCAAGCCTATGGTATCAGACCCAATTCACATACACAGAAAGTCACCCCTTCCGAGATCCAGGAAGATTGGTTCTGTTGAAGTAAGTGTTTGTGTTCCAGATAATTTCTGTCAGAGACATTAACTTTTGCTTGCTTTTAGGAAAACAAAACCAAATGTAATTCTGCTTTTGATTATACAGAACCAGCATGATACATCTCACAGAAGGTTTGCCCTTACTCAGTGGGAAATCCTCCCTGGCAGTAATTTCTCTGAAGGGATTTTTTTTTAAATTATTACTATTCTGTGATAAGACTTACTTCCTTTTTTTAAGCCATTTAAGAAAAGTTGATATTTGAAAATGAAGACTCTTTCAGTCTAAACCTACATATACAAACTAACATACATTGCTTTTCTATTCATCCTTACAAGACAGCTACTACTGGGAACTGAGCAAACTTTCAGGGTGATTATGCTGAAAGGGAACAGAGGGATTAGGGTGGATGGGGAGGTGCAGGATGTGAGACATCGTCTGCTGTATTTGCTTTCACGTGGAGTGAAAGTGACTCCACTTATCAAGCTTTTGAAGGTAAGAAAGATAAAGTGAAAGCTTTTTTTTTTTTTTTTAAGTGGCTAGTGTGTGTTTCATGAATTCTGTAGGTAACATCTTGAACAATCTAATTTGCTGTCTTGAAAGCCATGACATCTAGGTGTGCTTCACAAATATGGCTTAATGTCACAGAGGTGGGGGGATGCACAGCTGTATCACAGCATTGGGATGGTGGAAATTCAGATGGTGCATAGAAACACTTCTGTGATATTAATGCTAGAAGCAGACTAACAGCTTCTTATTGCCTCATTTTCAGTTGCTTAAAACCATCAGAAATGAAGATTCACGCCAAAAGCTTTTTCCTTCATGTTTGTGTTGGGGATGAGTTGTCTGTATGCAGTAAAATGATTACAGATTGGAAATCACTTGGTTATTGGCAATATGGAGAGAAAAAGATGCATGATTCCCTTTTGTAAGGATATCTGTGTAACTTCATATGACTTCCATAAATTAACAGACATGATAAATGTTAATGTCTTACATTTTCTATTTCCAAGTTTTTTCATAAACAAATGTTCACAACATCAGTATTTTTGATTTTTAAAAGTTGTTTTTGCAATGATCATGCAAACTCCCCTCCTAGCTATGAGTTCACTTATGCACAGCTTAATAGTCTATTACTTCAGACTTTCAACCACTTTCATAAATTATATCAAAGTTAACTTTCACAAGATATCGGAAGCACAAATTGCCAAATTTTGACTGTGCAGATAATATATGTTAAAATGGGATGTGTTTCAGCATTCAGAGCTTGCTTTTTTGCTGGAAGGAAATAGACAATTTAGAGAAAACTTACACTGTAAAACATACTTTTCTTATAAGTAAAATAGAAAGTTTCATCTGGTCTACTGAAATCTGCGAAACTAGTATTTGGATTATATAAACTAAACGGTATTTTGGAGCAATTTTTAAAAGTCACTGCAACTTAAACTGCAACTGCCTTGAACTTTTTTTTTCCCCCTGCTCCCTCCCCCCCACTTTTTTTTCTTTCTGTAAGGTAATTCTGTTTTCACCTATGTCCGTTTATTTGAAAGGACGCTGTCAGGTGTGAGATTATATGTAAATTTTAATATGGGTTATAGTCAGCAATATTTACAGAAAGAATGCAACTGTGACTGAGTCATGAAAAGAAAAAAAGCTGAGTTATAGTGATAAAACAAGAATGTAAAGCTCATTGACATTGGGAAGCAAACTCTGTATTACAAAGAATGTTACTGCTAGTCATATGTAATGATGTAGATATTGTGGGGTGCTTAGTCTGACACTCCCTTGAAGTCCTGATAAGGTGTCTAGCATCAGATATCTTTTAAGACATTTTTAAGTTTGGAAAACTACTACCAGTCGAGTTGGTGCTACTATCAGTGAGTCAGTTGTAAAGTCTCAAAGGATATTTTAAAATTTAAAAATAAGCATTCAGATAAGCTTATAGACTAGAAATGGAATCTGTTAAGTAATAAATAGGAAAGTTTAATGTACTTAGGGGAAAAACTATTAAACAGTCTGTCAAGGGTAACAGAAGTTCGTTTTCCAGCATGTGAAAAATTCTTAAAATGATGCAACAATTATTGATAACAAATGTTTTCTCTCATATCTAATATAATATTAGTCTATTAGAAATTTAATTGAAGTGTTGTTTATGAAGAGATAGAAGTGAAACTGATAACTTTCTAATATTGTATTATTACTTTTCTCTCTTTGCTGTTTAATAGTTTTAAAGGTAGTATGTATAAGGTTGCAAGCAGACTGGGTTTTTTTCTTTTCTGTTCATTTGGCTCTGTTGAATCTAACTTTGCATGCTTTGCTGTTTTTTGCCCCCTTTCTCACTTCCAGGAAGAGAGCCCCCTGAGTGTGTCTAGCCCAGAGTGTATTGGTACCTGGCTGCATTACACCAGTGGTGTGGGTACTGGGCGTCGAAGACGCAGATCAGGGGAACAAATCACTTCTTCCCCTGTCTCCCCTAAATCACTGGCTTTCACATCCAGTATTTTTGGCTCATGGCAACAGGTTTTTAAACTTTACTTCATTAAACATTTTATGCATTCCAAGCAACAACTGTCTTTAAGGACATCTAATCCCTTGTTACGGATTATGTTTCAAGCAATACCTTCCACTTTTTAAAATTACATGCCAAGAATGCTTGGGGGAAAAAGACCAAGTGCATACTTTTCCACTGAATGTGTTACACGCTTTCATAAACATTTGATTTCTTTATAGGATTTGCAAATGTTACCACAGTAAAAAAGACTTAGTATACTGCCTAATGAAAGAGAATTATGCTTTGGTTTAGTTGTCCTTTAAGACTTTAAAACCAGCATTGCTTAATTTGGTGGTAGGTAAATTTTTAAAAAAATAATAATTGCAACCAATAATATTTAAAATAATTTATTTGGTATTTCATGTTGCTATTCAAAACTTGTTTTGCATATATAATATTTTCAGTGGCCTGGTATTAACTATTGCAGGGAAAAAACTCTAGCACTAATAATTCTTGCCATCTATATCTGGAGGTATCTGAAACTCCCAACACAGTACATCATCCATTGACTCGTACAATATTTTGAAGACTGCTCCTTGTAATGGGGGGGTGAGGGAAAAGCAGGGGAAAAAAGAAACAGTAAATGTTTTGGAATTACCAGTGAAGATCTAAAGCTATTCAGAATGTCAAGATATTGTTAACATGTAGGACAATGGATGGTGTTCTGTAACCATATCCTTTTACTTTGAAAATTGTCATAATTTATTGTAGAAAATTCTAAAATACATTGGAAAAGTTTATATCAGCAAAGGCTGTGAGCATCTGAAGATTATACTGATTGAGCCTGTGCATGGTCAGTGATCATATGGTGTCCTCAATAGCTTGTCTGTCTTTCCTTCCCTCCCCTCCTTTTTTCAATACAGGCGCAGTTTAGGAAAGTGCATTTGGTAAAATGAAATAAAATGTCTCAAATGTTTGTTCTCATATCAGTCTTGGTCTGTGTCCTTTCTCATTCTGAATGCTTGCTTTGCACCACTTCATTGCAAGGAACTCATGTGAAATGGACTCCCTTCAGAAGGGGATATTGCATGATCTCTCATGTTTCCTTTACATATTTTTACTAACACTTATCATACAGCTTATTAACACCTGTCTGTCTGAAACAGGCTGCTGTATCAAAGTAAAATGGATGTTTCATGCTGCTGTTCTACTTTCCCTTATTTTTCTGTTTCTTATATCCAGGTCCTATCAGAATGCAATAGTAACTTACGAACACCAAGAACTATTCTGGAACAAAAGCAGAGTGGTCTAGGTATGTGCCTATAGTTGAAATTTTGTTTGATGTTATCCACTTTTCATTTGCCTGCTGTTCTCTATAGTTGTATATTCTTTGAATAGCTTTTTTGTTAACAGGACCCAATAGTACTTGTTATCAGTAACATATGCTGAGTGTCTGCCTATGGACTGGACAATTTTTTTAGCAACAATAACTGAAAAGAGCAAATTGTTTGAGACCCTTCATACTACTGATTTTGTCCTGCTCACAACAGGTATACAGGATTGTTTTTAACATAAAGCAGGTTTTTAAGATAATGCCATTTCTGATTGAGCTTTTGGATTTTGCAAGAATATTTTGGATTAAAATGGCCTGCTCTGGAAACAGTTAAAACACTTTACTTTAAAATTTCTGTTTCCTATTGTTGGTAATTGATGAAAGTGAAGATGTTTTTCTGAGGGGAGGGGCATGGAGAACAAACATTCTTGATAGCATCAGGGGTTTTGCACATATTCCTCTTCTAAAATTAATTTCTTCTTTTCAGCATTAGTACAAATCATGCTATAATTCAAAGGCTTCTTTAAAATTATCTTAATTCAAGTGGTGCTTTTCTATTTCTTTATTAAAACAGGCATACATACGACTCACATGCAAAAAAATGAAATCATGCACTGCTGTAAATCAATATTGCTTTTTTTTCCTGTGTGTCTTTTCAAGGGGAATAATAAGTATAAATAACTGCATCACCTAGATGCATAAATTTAGAAGTAGCTTTTCCTTTATTTGCACAGATATGTGTTTTTGTATGTCTAATCTTTCTGTGATACTTTTCTTCCTGTTATATTTTTCCCATAGCAAAGTGCATACAATCAGGTGCTCTTGTTTACTGAAGTCCTGGTTTTTATTATGTGCTTGCTAAAGTTAAATGAATATTCTTTCATGTGACACAATATGGCTTGTGGAAGTTGATGTATTTCTGTGTAGATTAAGGTATTATATTTGGTGTGAAAGGCTTTTGCCACAGAGCAGGCACCAATTTATTTTGGCTCACTGGTCACATGTGCTAGTAATGTTTCCCCTCTTTGGACTGCTATAATTAATGAAAGGAAGTATTGCTGGTTTTCAAAAGAAAATCTGCTGTTACTTATCTAAACTGTAAAAGATAATTTCTGAGTGAAAAATTACTTCTCCTTTCAACTAGTAGCAAAATGTAAAGGAAGAAACTTGCAACTTTTTTCCCATTTTGTTCATTGTTGTATGTAAGTTTCATTAATGGTTGATGATTACGAAAGTTATTTTTATATTTTTATCTGTGGCTGTCTGATTTGTTTAAATTCCCATTCTAGTGACAGGAATGCATGAGTTGTAACAAAGTACTGTCACTTGCATGGAGCTGTGCAAAAGTCTTCTCAGGAAAGAAAGTCAAGTTAAACTTGATGAAACTTTCAGGTTTTTTCAGTTTGTAGCATTTTTAGTAATGGTAGCTGAAATCTGAATAGAATATTTCCAATTTGGTTAAGATTTTGTTTGGGTTAGAATTATTTCCACATGCTAGGACTGTGGAACTGTGTGAGTACTTCATAGCAGCCTGTTATCTCAAAGGTTGATTTGGATGAAAGCAATGAGTAGTATTTTTCCAGTTTATATTTGTTTCAGGAATACAGATATTCAAAGACACAACTTTCACATCATCATCATCATCAATCATTATCATCATCATTTTCATTTTGTTTTGTTGTTTTGTTTATGTTTACATTGATGCTAACTGGTAACTTTTTTTTACCAAAAGTGAAAACAGGACAAGAACTCACTTTGTTAAAGCCAGTCCTCTCTTTGCACATATAGCAGAGTGTGCTGTTTCATGAGTAGAAGCACAATAAATTATGATAGTTTCAGCCTACAAGTCCCACTCTGACATTACAAGCATATTGTGAACCTGTCCAAGGCACTGCCAAAAGCTGCCTTTTGTGTGGTAAGAGCCATGTGCTTGCATGCTGCATGCATCCCCAATGTGAATGGACGAACACCTGGTTGTTGTATGTATTTTCTCTAACTCCCATCAGGGTCTCACTGTGCGGGCCTGTTTAGCACCTCAGTGCTCGGGGGTTCTTCAAGTGCACCTAACCTACAGGATTATGCTCGTACGCATCGTAAAAAGCTGACTTCTTCTGGCTTCATAGATGGTATGTGCACACTCTCGCACATGCACGCACGACCCATGTGCCACATTGAACTTCTAAAGATTTTAATGGAATCCTAGAATCTTTGGCCTTAGTATTAATTTTATGAGTTTCTATTGCTTCTTTATTGCCCATAGTTTGGTTATGTTTGACTTAATAGCATAGTTAATTCTTGTTTGCCTTGAATTGAACGTCAGATCACAGACTTGTAATGTGCTCCAGGAGATGCCAGCAAGTGCATATTTTAAGTAAACGGAAAGCTTTGGTTTTAAATTCTTTAATAATTTTAAACTCTGTTTTTTATCACTGCTAATTGATCTTTAAATTAAATAAATTATTTGGAGCATATACAAGGAGTGAAATTATAAAGTAGAAAGTTAAATACTGATGGTGAAAATTTTAGGATTCCTGACTTTATATTTTCATGGGGTTTGGATTACAAAGGAGCAGGAGATTCTCAGTTTTGGATAATCTGGCATAGAGAAGAAACTCACTCACTAGATTTCAGAATGTAAAGATACCAAAGCACACCTTCGTAACTCTGAGGTGAAACAGTATTCATCCTGTTTTCCCCCCCACTTCACTTCTCAGTATTCGACTCTAACCTGAATAACCTTGTATGCCAGAATCACCAGTTCATTCTGCTTGTTTTCATACACGTCATTACACATCTTGTAGTTACCAACAATCCAAATTTTCTTCTTTTTAACATCTACTTAGATTTTAGCCCTTGTCCTTGGTCCTTCTGCATGCCACTCACTTCTAATACCTTCTCATCTTTTCTTTTTTCCTTTCTTCTTCCTTTTCTATTTTAAAATCTCCCACTTTTGGTAGCTGTTACAAATTTCAGGTACCTGTTTTTCTCTTTCTCAGACACCACACGCGGTTCTGCTGTTAAAAGGTTTTCTATCTCATTTGCTCGACACCCAACCAATGGTACGTTTTGCTTTTATTTTAAAAACAAAATCAAAAACAAAAGGTTTCTTGCTTCATCCCTTTTATTTTTATTTCAAATACGGGGTGTACAGTATCATCCAGCCGTCTGTCGTTCCTAACTTCAAGCACAATTCCAAATATATTTGTAATCATTAGATAGCCTAAATCCTTTCTTTACCATTCATTAGTATAAATACAACATCAAAAATCATTACTTACAAAAATCTGCGAAAAAAAAAAAATTAAGTTCTACTGTTAATCGTGATCTCTCTAATAAATTATTCTCCAGAAGTTCTTGTGTGATCAGACTTTATGGTATAAGATACAGACAATGAAATCTTATTAGACATACACTTCTTGATAGTAGCTGTTTCTTCTTCATCTTTCTCCTGCTGAGCTGATTCTCTGAGCCTGCCCATTCTAAAATAAATTGCTGAATTGACAGCTGGAGTTTATGACTATCTTCTTGAAGTGATGCTAAATTACAAAAACTAAAGCAGAAGCTTTGGTTCTATTCCTGCTAAATTGCTATATTATTTATGGGACAAAAATTTATTTTAACTTCTCATACTTCTCTGTTCATCAGATGTGCAAATTACTTAAATATTGCACTAAAAATCACAGCAAGAGAGCTGTGACTTCTTGAGCAGCATTGACCTCTTGAGCTTCAAGAGTGAGCGTTAACTATCTTCAGTTTGCAAAATTTCTCTTTTAACACACAGGACAGAGGTATGTCTTTTTCTTCCTCAGCAAAATATTTTGTGCCTCCCTTTCTACATGATTGAATAGGCCCCAGATATATCCTGTTCATGAAAAGTTGACTCAGTCTTCAGGACCCAGTGGACCTGAATGTAGCTTTTCCAGATTTCTTAACTGCAGTTTTAAAATGTGCATGACTGCTGGCTGAGTTCAGAGATAATGATACTGAAATTGCAGTGGAAATCATCAGTATTTTCATGTTAGATTCAAAATATATTTGCTTAGAAAGAAAGTTTAAAAAAAGAAGACTTGAGTTTTTGTTAAGGCTTGCTTAGAAGCAGAGTAGTATTTTGTTACATTCATTTTAAATCCATAGTGGCTTCTATGCACTGCAGTGCTTTATGAAGGAAAACTGTAGTAAGGCTAAATTTATTTTTAAGATCTAAAATTCCAAATCTAATGTTTTATCTCAAATAGAAAAGTCAGGAGTCCATTTTTTATATTAAAACTCAAACCAATATTCCCAAAACATACAAGGTCAGAAAGTAAGAACTGCATTTGAGAATCTGTAGCTAATAATAGAATTACTTTCTGTTCCATTTAGTCACTTTCTGTGATTCCATTCTTTTAAAAAAAGGATCTAAACAGCTTTTATTGATCACACTGATTGTTTTGATTCATTTAATGCAGCAGTTTTCCACACATCTTTGACAAGACTAATGCATGCAGTATGTGTTCCTATGAACCCTAAGTTATTGCAGGTTTCCAGGGGTTCTCTACTAACATAACGCCATATTGATGTTGTTTTGTCTGTCCTCTGGACTATCATTTTAATTATCCTTGTCCCTTTCACTCTGTTTTTTTCTTACTTTTATGTTGTTGTCACACCCTCTTAACTCATTTCAGACTATATGCCCCCCTTCCCACCCCCCATCTTTAGTTCAAGGAACATGGTGAAACAAGTATCTTCTGAAAGTGCTATACCTTATTTTCTGGGCCTCTGCAGAACACCCACACCTCTTTAGGTGCTGGTCCATTTCCTCTGTGGAATTTCTAGGCTCCAGTGGTATGTCTCTACAGTTTTTGAATCTTAAGACAGCAGGGTGGCTTTTTAAGATGCTGCGTTAACCCTTTCATTGGCTTGCCTTTTATTGCTTTAAGAATAAACACAGGCAAAAATCAAAGGCTGTTAGTGTACAGGGAATTGCCTTCTTGAAGGGATACTGTCGGGCTTCTTCATCATAAAATTTATTTCTTATAACATCATAAAATATTTATCTGAGAACATTCAAATAAAACACTACACATAGATTTCCAGACTCTGTTTTAAGCCGTATCCCTTAGAAATAAAGATACTACAATGACATGCTGGGATATGACTAGCTGACAGCAGAATTTTCAAACCTCAACAAAAGAATTTGGAGGGGAAATTGCTAAAACAAGAAAATTTTATTTATTCTCTTACTTCTTTTAAAGGGCATGAGTGCATTTTGGAATTCCTTTCTGGTTCTCTGTAACATGCACTATAACAAGAACAGTTACTAGAAGGTTAACCTGACATTGTCCCACCTCATTAATTGCAAAATTAGAAAAAGTAATTCTCATTCAAGTGATAGTGAATTTTCTGTCAGGTTAAAGAGAAATCATACATTTTATTGTAAGGCAACGAAAGGGTTTGCGCTTTGCATGCATGCATATAGTTATTTAGGATATTAATATGTATGGTAAGCATCTTAGTGCTTACACTGAAGGCTAGCTACTGACTTCATAGGAGAATAGAAATTAGTAGTATGATGGTGTTTCTTTTGTACACAAAACCCAAGTTTTCATGAAATGCAACATTTTGTTTATAATTTAAGTGAAGTTTACATAAGTGTACCTCAGCTGGTTGAATATTGTAGCAATAATCCCCAAAATTTGAATATGGCCAAGGTGGATCTAAATATAAGTATAGATATTTGGGGGTTGATATCTTACTGAATTTCTTCATTATGCAAAGTACTGATGGTGAGTGAATGGGCAACATTGGATATCACAGGAATATTGTTGCTTATTTTATGGGAAAGAACAGTTCCCAGGCATAATGCTATCTCTAATAAATGTACCTTGAACTGAAATTCTAAACATTATTTCATTCACTACTGCTTCTTCATTTAATTGCCTTGGAAGAAATTTACAGTATTGAATTGCAAAGTTGTAATGTTACAACTGTATGTTGAAAACACTAATGGACATGTTTTCCTCTATGAAATGCAACTGGATGAAAAGCTGTTTATTGAGTTACCAAACTTGAATCACTTTAGAGGACTGCAAATTTTCTTTAGCCAACATGTTTAAATGCTTTTTAGTCTGTTAGTAATATGGATATGCATGGTTAGTGTATGATCATTACTAACATAGAAAAGCAAAGTTCAATAAATTTTTAGATTTTTGGGTTGCTTTACTTACCTGTTCCAATATATGAAACTTCTAGTCTTTCAATACTGTTTTTAAATGCATAAAGGTAGGTGTATATCTGTCTGTAAAACCATGTAACCTCAAGGTATAAAAATGCTAACAGTGGTTTTCCTTTGATATTAAAGGCAACAGTTTGTTTTCACAGAATACTGAAGATGATAGAACATGAATTCTTCAAATTTATTTCTTGGAAGATACAGCATTTTTAGCTCTTGTCTGCTTAACAAAATAGCTATCCTACTTTCTTGCATGAATGAGTTACCTATTTAATCTTGTGCCAGATATCAGAATGAGTAGGAGAAATACTACCTTTTTCTGACCTTTTTTTTTTTTAGTGGTCTGCTAAGTTTGTCTTAAAGGGAAATTATCTTTAATGAATTGATTTGGGAGTATGGTTTGGCACAGTTGTCATGTTGGAATAATTGATGTGTACACATGTACTTCATGTGTACACGGGACTTGTATCCCATATATTTTATCTTTAGCTGGAAACTGGTTCATCTTGTTCCAACTCCTGTAATATTTAATTTCCATGATTTCAAGAGAGACTTATGCCTGCACATGCTCATGTAACTAAGCATTTTTTATCGTGCATTAATGCAGTACCTTAAATCTTGTCTTATGTTTGGAAATCTCTTTTTTTATTATTTTTTTCTTTTAGGTTTTGAACTGTATTCGATGGTGCCTTCTATTTGCCCTTTGGAAACCCTACACAATTCCTTGTCTCTGAAGCAGGTGGATGAATTTCTGGCTTCTGTTGCTGCTCCATCAAGGGAAAATCTACAGGAGACATGTACTGGTTATAGTTTATAATTATGTTAATTTTTAATTCTTAACTGTTGTCTAGTTAATCTTTGCAGTGTTTGCAGCTAAAGTAAACTGCTTTTGAAGAAAATTAAAATGTACATAAACCATAATTTTACTTTTTGCACTATCCTTTTGTGGGTATGGACATTTATAAATAATTGAAGTAACATCTCTGTTGGCTGAGGTAGTAAATGAAGGATTTAATGAAATTATAGTTAGTTTATTTCCTTTATTATTACATTGACTTCTCTGTACTGTCCACACTCAGCTCAGTTACAGGTAATGCTTTCCAGTGAGCATGCAGTATTGCCAGCTTTATATTGCAATGTTCTACTGGCAGTAGCCTCAGCAGAATAGTGTTGCATTTACATTTAAAATGTCATTATTTCCTGTTTCTTTCAGTATTGCTTGGGGTTTCACGTGTAGAGTGCTTTGCATTTACTTAGTTTGTAGCAGTTTGTGCTGTGTGTTTAAAGTTTAGGTGATCTTGAAAGGAAATACAGCTGAATTCTATCCATGTGCATGTGTCTGGGGAAATGATTTCCCATTGTTTTTCTACTGTGAATTTGGAAATGGTTTCAGTTAGGTCAGATTTATCACATAATAGAATGTGTCAGGTGATTGAAAATCATTCTTCCTAAGGCAGTGTCTAAAGACTTACGCTTTGATCAGGAAACTTGTACTGTTTCCTGATCAAAGTACTGATACAACAGTAGTCTACCTGTTTGGACTTAATCCTTCTTTCTACTACAGGATTTTTCATTTTCCCCCATTATTTTGTACAGTTTAGATTTTAATCAGCAACTTATTTGATAGGGTAGGCCTCCTATATTTGAGAAGGAATATAAGCAATTTAAGAAAATTGATGTTACTGAAAAAGAGCTCTGAAAGGCTTGTAAGTATATGAAAATTCTCAGCTACTTAAAATGTCTTTTTATACTGGTTAGAAAGTTTGTGTGTCTCCAAAATCAGTTCAGAATTGAGAATATACAAGATGAAGAAATACTGAAAACCAGAATGTCCTAGCATACGGTTGTCACCTTTCTACCAAGGAGTGATTGGAAAATAGACCTAATACAATTAAAGTCATAGATGTTTAATTCTCCAGCTTTCCTGTACTATTTGGATGTTGCCTAGAGATTAATGCATTGTGTCGACTTTTTATAGACATATTGGATTTAAAGCCTATTCAGGTGCAATCTTCATAACCTATGAGAAATAGCACAAATGCTTTTGCAAGTCTTCAGGCAAGGCACCTGCTAATTCTGCCTTAACATCATAAACTTATGCTGTTACTTTCCGTGGTAAAAGAGAGATTTTAAGATTTGTCTTTCATACTGTAAAGTTTTGACACTAGAGTAAAAAATTGGTAGCTGAACAGGTGGTTCTATAAATGTGGTATCTATTTTGCTGGGTGGACACACAGTCCTGTGGCTACAGTTTTTGACATTTGGTTTAGGTCAGAATATTTTTATTATTAATGGTTCTTTTTTCCCCTCATCATTTCAGCTTCTCCAACTTACATGATGCCCCATTCAGGAAGAAAAATTTCTTTAAATACATTTACCCCTGCGAAAATTCAACCGACTCCGCTTGAAACTTTGCCTGAAAGGCTAGTGATGGAGAAACTAACCTTATGTAAGTAAATTCTGTCAAAGGCAGAATGACTAACTTGATTCTTTCCAGCAGTATAATTCTTCCTTACATATTATGTGACTTCGTAAGGCAGCTTTTTCTTAAAATTCCCTACATAAGTAGAATCATTTTATGGGTCAGTGAGAGCTCAATAGCATTGCACAAATAGCTTTAACAGTAAAACTGTATTAATAGTTATTTTCCCTTATCCTTTGAATTGTTTTGTTTTCTATGGCCTGACGTTCATGAGCTTTTATTTTGAATTATGACAGCTATCTCCAAGTAAGACAAAGTAAATTTATTTCTTTAAATGGTTGAATTTCTAAGATGTTTTCTGAACACCTAATGTAGAGCTCTGTGACTGTTCTAACTAAAGCTTTCAATAACATGATGATGAATTCAATCATTAGCATGTTCAGTCTGCACTGTTGGCCCGCTCAAGAGCTGTCAGCTCTTGAATGGTTGTGCTTTTTAGAGACCAGATTTCACTTGGATTTCTAATTTCATTAGATAGTGCAGCTTATTTGTTTCTGTGCTAGATAACATGTATATTTCTTGCATTTGATGATTTTTAGCATGGATATTAAGTGTAAAACCTAATACATCTTTTCTCTCAATCTGTACAGCTACTCTTGGACATCCTGTTAATGCATCTAATATTAAACCATCTCTTGAAGAGGCCTCACTAGATGCAGAACTTTGTGGTGAAGCTCTTTCTGAGAAGAAATGATCAGACAAAACTGGAAACAACTTCTTAAACGGTTCTTTAGTGTGCGTTCAAGCAAATAATTGAGATGTCAAAAGCCACTTCTGTCTGCATCTGCAATTCATAGTGCACTTAAAAATCTTTATACATGGTTAACTAGTGTGCACAGTATTCAGGTCAAGCGTCTTTTCTCATTTTCTAAAACATAGTATACTTATCAGTTTTATGAGCATCACAGGTTTTAATGGAAAAGCTGCACATGAACCTTTTCTGTGTCTTCAAATATCTACTGTAAACATGCACAAAAAGAAGATGGTACGTAATACAGTGGCTCTGTTGTTGTCACTATAATGAAATCATTTTCTGTTGTCTTCATAAACTTCTATTTTCAGGAGTTTATAATCTCCCTGTGAATTTCTTCTGTGTGCTAAAACAGGATATGCATCTTGACTTTTTTTTTAATTTAACTACATTTCCAAAGAGATCTCTTTTCAGTGGTTTTGGAGATAAGCAGATATTTCTGCATTTTAATTATATTATATATATGCTGCAATAATTAGGCATGATGGAGTGAGTTCATGTATCAGCACTTTTGATTACTCTTTTTTTTCCTGTGTTTACATCAGATCTGTAACATTCAAATCTACCTTCTCTTTTATTGTTTAATACACATGCTTGTATACAGAGAGAGACTGTGGACTACCAGAACTCATACTATTCCAAATACTCAGGATTCATCATGGCCTGGGAATTTTCATACCTCCCTGCTTCCAATCTGCTGGTTGACAGCAAAAAAACCCCCCACAAAATGAAAAAAAGCCCAAAAAATTCCCACACAAACCAACCAAAAAAACACCAACAAACCAACAAAAAACCAAACCAAACAACAAAAAAGGAAAAATAGTTAAACATTTTATGAGATGTAAGAAGCATTTCTAAATTGGTGGAACATGGAGTTATGGTGTTGTCTAGAATTATTATCCAATCTAAGTAGTTTTTGTAATGTTTTTCTGTGGCATGAAAAATTACAGGGTTATGAGTACCCCAAATGTATGAAAATATAGACCCCTTCTTTAAGTTCAAGTGGCCACGTAGTAAGAATGGACTTTATAACTGCAAGTTAGGAAATTCATTTCATGTTTCAGCTGCAGAAGACAGCTTATGAGTAAAATACTTAAGTAGGGCTCTTACTTGTCTCCAGAGCCAGTGCAAGTTGCACTAGTTACATTCACTGGTTACTAGTTACATTCACTTTGTCACAGGGACTTTTTTCAGTGTTTACCATATATGAAATGGCTTCAGCAGATGATTAACAGTGCTGATTAAATACCAAAAATATGAAGGGTTTCACAGCTATGTATTTCAAGCATTTCATTTTCCATAGTGTTACTGTGTTACTTAGAATGTTGGTCTTGCATACAACTGAATGTACCCTTGTTTACCGTTTAAAAAGAGAACCTAAAAATTTAAGTATATGTATCATTCCAGTCAACCAAAGCTGTGGCATAACTTTTTTTACGTGCTTCTAAATAAAAGCAAGGTCACTAGCAACTTCTCTCTATTGTATTTTCTTTTAAAAACACTGTGAAGTATAGTGAGTAGCTGACAAAGTCATCTCAGTGGAAAACAATTTACATATAAGCCAATAATTTACAAATAAGCCAGAACTACTCTTGGTGGTAAGGATGTGTGGTGGCATAAAAGAAACAACAGTAACATTTTATACTGAAATCACTCCTGAAAAAGATAAGTGGTAGTCACACATTCCACAATGCTTTGTTGTGTTCCAGAATGGTAACGTCAAATACAGGACCACAGTGAGTGCTCTTCTACTTGCTTTTGAGACTGACAATAGGACACAATGTGAACTGCACGGATTTGAACCAATTTTTAATTCAGTTTTTTAATGCAATAGCACTTTCTCTCACAATTAAATTTTTTGAACTATACATCCTATTCCAACCAGATTTGGCAGAGGTCAAAGAATATGTTAACAGAAAATGAGTGGTCAAAATATGACTGTGACTCGCAAAATATAATCATCTTGCAATGTAGTTTAATTATTTAGCTTGGCATTTCTTCACAAATAAAGCATCATTACAAAAAATAACAAACCACAAAAATGTGTGTGAAAACTTCTAAAATTAATTTAAATCTGGTTTTATGTTTCTTTATCATAATCAATAAATTTCAGTTATGCAATTATCCTAGCACACAGAGGCTGTTAAGGGAAAGCAGATGTGCTTCTAAAGTTCAGTTTTATAGAAATCCGTATAAACGAGCCTAGGGAGGTATGCATACAATAAATAATTATACATATTTTCATATAATAATATTTTAAAAATAATGATCATACATGGAACAACAGGAGCAAAACCAGTTCAAAGGATAACGGCAGAAGACACGTAACAAAGATTTTTAAAAGCTGTTTCAGTGCAATAGAGAAATGGCGGAATGTAGGGATTTAAGATTACTATATGTCATCTAACACAGAAAGAAGCTCTGTTCCTATATTTTTCCTGCATTTTTTCTTAATCAGTTTACAGCAACTGTATTTTTACAATCCCATAAGTAACTTGCTAAAGAAAAGAATCGCAAAAAACTTTTGTAGAAAGTCAATTCTGCAAGAAGCAGTATAAGAAAAGAAGTGTACTTTCTAGTTTCTTTCTAAATAGAGGTTTTCATTTTGCCTGCTTTTTTGAGAACAAATTTTATTTTTTAAATGCTAATGTTTTTATTAGCCTTAGAAACAACTTGTGCTCTGAAATACAGAAACTGGTGTAACACCAAAGCAGTCCAGAGTATATTACTGTGAAGAACAGATGTTGAATAAAAAAAATAGGCCAAATATTTTATCTATAAAAAAGAGAATGTGTGAGCATACGAATGGCATCATATGTGTGCCGAGGAGGAGGAGAATGTACTAAATACAGCGAACATCCACATCATAAAAGGTAGAAGCTACTGTAGAAAAGACGTTACAGGAAGCTTAAATTCTTCATTGATACAAAACCAATTCTAAAGTGGACTTGCTTTAAAAAAAATATAAACAGACTTGACTGAAAAATTGTCACTGTGCCACACAATGCACAAACCTAATATATAGAAATAGACTTCTAATCCAGAGTTCTGAAAACTAGAATTTACAGATCTCCATCCAGTTCAAAGACATAAGTCACTGACAAGAGAAGACAAGGTAATTGGGTGACATGCATTTTGCAACAGATCCAGAATAGTCCTAATATAATGGCAGTGTATTTGCTTCCAACAAAGCTTTTTGGGTCTGAGTGCACCTGTCTTTCTAGAGCTCCTATTTCATCTCCCAGAAAAAGGAATAACTGCTTCTTTATTTAATAAAATTATTACTTGTTATATACTAATAGAAGTACTAAAAATTTGTGAATCTTTTAAAATCTAAGTCCATTCAGACTTCCTGTCTTATTTGTTTTCAGACTATTGATAGCTTTTTCATTTCTCTTTTGGGTGACGGCTGGGAATCTATTATACTTAAATTATTTTATGTAAAACTTCCATAATTTATTTTAAAAGGCTACTCTGGAAAGCATTCTAAACTGTAGGAATTTAATCTGTCTATAGATATTTTTAAAGAGCACTCGCACAGAACATATAGAGGTACAAATACTGAAAAGTAGAAAGGAAAATAAAGGAGAAACTCCAACCAAGAGAATTCAAAAGATGGAAATGACATTGGATTTGAAATAGAATGGAATGAAAAAAGCAGAAACTTGGAGGTTCTTGCCTTTTCTAGCTTCAATATTAGTTATGAGTATGTAAATATGGACTAAAAGTCTGTGCAGTTCTAGGCCACAAAAATTAAGAGCAATGCTAACGCACCTGAATACATCTAGAAGAAGACAACCAAGCAAGTAGAAGGTTTGGAAGGTCTGTCCTGCAAGGAATGGTGGGGTTTGGAGAGAAGGAGGCTGAGGGGCAACATCACTGCTGTGTTCAGCTCCCCGAGGAGGGGAAGTGGGGAAGAACGTGCTGAGCTCTTCTCCTTGCAATTCAGCAACAGGGTTTGTGGGAATGGTTAAAGCTGCATCATGGGAGGTTCTGACTGGACATTAGGAAGCATTTTTTTTTCTGAGAGGATGGTCAAATCCTGGCACAGGCTTTCTAGAGAGGTGGTTGATACCCTGAGCCTGTCAGTGCCTCAAGAACAGGCATATGAATAAACTCAATTGTTGCAGTGTGGTAGGGTGGTGGAAATGCTGCAGCCTTCTTTGAAACGTCTCCTTCAGAAGCTGCTCAGAGTAATGCTGTGAGAACAGCCATTTCAAGTCCATACACACACAAACATCACAAATAGCTCAGTGGAGGAAAGACAGGAAGGGTCTTTGCTGTTACATTGCGCTCAGGACATGCCTTTTCCCCATTGCTCGGGACCCCTGTGACTCTGATCAGATAACCCTGGACCCCTCCTTCTTGCCTTGACAGGGCTGGCAGGGAGCCAAGAAGCCCTCCCTGTCCAAAGCCTAGATAAACCCCTGATATTTCTTGTTTGTTCTCTTTTGCCCTGCTCTTTGGACATCACAGAATAAAGAGAGCTGGACAACATACATCGGGGTAAGAGCCTCTTTTGGAAATCTTAGCCTATCTCCTGATATTCCTCCCCTCAAAGCCTCAGATCTCTGGGTCAGCCTGATAATTTAGGGGCTGAGAGGGGGGATATATTCCAGCGAGGGCTTATTGCATCCAGCACACCAAAGGGACCAGACACAAAAGATGAAACCATGTGGTCTGCACGATTTAAGTAAGGGGTCAGTGACCTGAGGGCACAGTGGGGGCAAAGGGCAGGGTAAAGGGCAGAAACCTGCAGGGGGGATGAGGGATGAATAATTGGGGTGGGCAGTGTCAACTGGCCGGCGGGGGAGGCAGTCTGATGGAGATTGGCAGTAGTGCTGCAGAGCATCCTGAGTTAGGTCCTCTCTGTCAGTTTAGGTGGGGAAAACTCTATGATACAGTCTTGCAGAGCAAGCCCTGGGGATTTCCCTGGGGGGGAGGAGTCAGAAGATTCCACAGAGTCCTTCATAACGGACTTTAAATTTGGTCAGCCCTGACGTGGTCAGGCAGCTAAATTAGATGATCACTGTAGGTCCCTTCCAACTGTTCTGTTCTAGTCTAGTCTAGTCTATTCTTTCTGTTATTAATTACCATACATTTTAAACTCAACATAGACTATGTATTCAATCCAAAATCAATAAAGTTAAACAAGAACCATAGGAGTACACGGTAACTTAGGATGGAGACGGCTTCAGGAAGACTGTGGTCCAATGTCTAGCTCAAATGAGGGTCATGTGTGGGACCAAACAATGTACTTAATCCAGCTTGCACTTGAGAGCCTTGGAGGATGGAGGCTGCACCAATCCTGCGAGCAACCAGGGCCACTCATAAACATGTCTTCATCACTTCTCTTGCGCCTTAACAATGTACAGTTTGATTTTGGTAAACTTACTTACATTCAATTAACAGCCTACAGCAAAACTGGCAAATATTTTCTGTTGCCTCTCCCTATATATGTGCACACTAAGTGCAGATTTTGATAAAGACTGGTACTTCCATTTCCCAGTAACTTTTAGATCTCAAGGTGTAGGACAGAGTGTGTCTTTTCACGTTGAATAGTTCTGTTTATTGCTTCAAGATGCTCTGAATCAGAGCTGGTACTAACTGAAGATCTGCAAAATGCACAAAGCTCTAAACCCATCACTTTTTTCATGTTCTTTCCTGTGTTTGTGTTCATCAGACAAAATTCACCTTGCTGAAATAGCTGTTATTTTAGCTGAAATCATCTTAATTAAGTAAAAAAGTCAATTTGGCCAAATAAGCAAATCAAGGGATGCTTTTCACACTTATCAAACTTATTTTTTTTAAATTGTTATATAAAAAATTAAGATGGCATTTAAAAAATAATATGCTGTAAAATTTTCTTTAGGTTTTAAATAAATTTTCACTGTATTCACTGGTCTCCTAAGTTTTTAACTTAGCCAAATAATCATTTAAGAAAATATTAAACTTTTGAATTTGGATGGCAAAAGTTGCAAGTTGTATGGCAATATGTAATATTTTTTTCTTTGCACCCCCCCACCCCTGCCTCCCAATATAATGTTCTTCTGCCACATCAGCTATACCCTCCTCAGAGCTGCTTTTCTCTTCCTGTCCCCTCTCAAATTAGTGCCTTGTTTTTTATCCTGAATGTGGTTCTGGATTTCCAACAAAATTTGTGTTTTCAAAATAATGGTTACAATCTTCAAAAGGGAAAGAAAAGTGAGTATTTAATAAAAATGTTTGTATCATTTGGCTTGGTGATTAAATCCATGTACAAAGAGCCAAAGAAACACAAGTAAATATTCTATAAATTGCTCAGCTTTCAGCTGTTGAATTTAACAACTTCACTAATGTTCAAAACACCATAGCAGTTTCCAATGTTCAAATATAGAATATAGGAATTGCGAGAAAAATAAGCCTTTTGATAAAAGGACTCTGGGGATAATAAATCAGGAAGAGGATAATAGAAACTGAGCTGTTTTCCTTGTATTTTACCTTTAATATTGTGTTTACTTACGAATTGTCTTGTATTGTCATTCTAATTGACTGTCATTGATGTGGGAAGCTACTGATGAGCACAGACAGTCTAAGATGTTGGTAATTCATGTTCTGGCCAGGATGATGCAGAGAAAATAGCTTGTAGTGGTCTTTTTCCCTCTGTGCTGCAGTAGGGCTAAAGAGTGTTAATCAGATCGTGTGTGGGAAAACAAAGCCCAAGTTTTCTAAAGTATCTTTATTTTCCATGTAAAACCTTGGATGCCTTGATAAACATTGCAAAAAAAGCAGTGAAATATAGTAGTTTATCTTGATAAAATCTTAACAGCATGATTGCATTGAAAACACAAAATTTTGAAAATTATGGGGATTTAGGAAACTGTAGGTTTATTTTCAAATATTTGATTTGGAATTTGAATACTAGCTTTAAGAGAAGTCTTTGGGATCTGCCTTTCTTTTGGTGCCCAGGAATTTATAGTTTTGCACCATTTGCACCATGTTAATTCTGTCATTGTGATAAATGTTAATAAATTATACAGTTAATTAAATACAGGTAATTAAATACTAAAATATTTGACTGCTGTCGGCCCTCTCCTCCTTGGAACTCCATTTCCGAGTCTGACTGAAAACTCAGTTGACAGTGAGAGCAGGAAGTTGTTGGGAGGAAGTTTGTTGGAAGAAAGTTGTGATATACTAACTGACAAGATCTTACAGCCTCATTTATACCTTGGGACAACATAGGAAGATGGGATTTCCCACTCAGGCCAGTATTGCAGGTGTCAACATAACCAAAGGGGTTAGTGTACTGCAAGCAACATGGAGCATCATAATGCCCCTGAACTACACTCCAGGTTACTTACCCTGCTGCTTGACCAGATACATTCCCCATGTTCCATGCTAAACTTCCCAAGTTAGTTCTTAGAGTGCTTTTGTGATCTTGCAAATCCTATGACCCTTAAGGACTTGCAGAGCCTGTAATTCAAATTCCTTATAAAAACATTGGATTTTATTTCTCTGTTCTTTTTTCTAGCTGAGGATTCCAAGGAACACAAATTCCAGGAGCGTTTGGGTGCACAGTGGTTAGTCTGGATGCATTTGGAATGCCAACACCCTTCAGTGCAATTCAAGATCCAGAGCACCTGCAAGTTTCTTGGAAGGACCATTGGGACTAGAGGGAGACTAGAACATGGCCTTTGTATGGGGGGTCATCCACGCCTTCCCAGTCAGACTAAAACTTCAGCTGTGTGTTTAACAACGAGTCTTTAAAGACTCAGTTTCAGAAACAAAACCTAACTTAAGTCCATCCCTAGGGGCTTAAGAGCTGTGCGGTAGAGCTCGTAACTATGACTAAAGCCGAAAAACAGGACTATGACATCAAAATTTTTCTTCCCCTTTCCCTTTACTTTACTTGCAAAAGCCAAGTTTTTAAGGTTTGCCGCAGCAATAGCATCTTTGTGCAATAGAGAAATTATCTAACTGGTTGTTAGCAAAACCTGTTACTAAAGGTTTGTTATCTAGTCAGCGTTCGAACTTTGTAGGCTGCTTGGAAATACTTCAGGAGTGGGCGGTATTCCCATTTCCCACGATGCGAAATGGGAATGGAAGAGACGGAACGCTTGCTTGCCCCATTCTTACAGCTGCATTACGACAGAGAACGGAACGCGGCACTAAGGGCGACTGAGGCAGGTTGAGGACAGAAGGGGGAAGGCAGCGAGGCTGCCGCCGGGGAGGGAGGCGGATCTCAGAGCCTTAATATTTACTGTATGGCTCGTGAAGATCATTGACTGACCTTGTGCACTCAAAGGTATATTAAAATTCTTACTTCAGAGTACTAAACTTGCTAAGCTGCTTTGGCTCGTTCGCAGGCATGTTTTTCTGCACATTTACTGGAAAAGTGTCTTTGAGCAGCTGCAGTGCTGTTTTGAGTGGTATGCAGAATGTAGGAAAGCAATCTCGTATCTTAATTCTCTGTATGTCTTACTTAAATGCCGGTTTATATATAGTTTGCCTAGCATAAATGTATTCTTTATTACAGAGAAAATAAGAAATGATGAGCACTAACAAATGCTTCTTATGAACATGTCTTTGTTACTGTATCTCTAGAATGGGCCAGGATGTCATACATGTGTGCTTGCATAGCTGCATGCAGAAATGAATCGATGTCAGAAAGCTGCTCCTCCCACCACCCTCCTTCTGTTGGTATGTTATGAACCATATTCCAGCTAACAGGGTGTGCTTGCTTCAGTTGCCTCTTTTCCCTCTGGAGGAAGAGCATTTGTTAGGATAATGAAGATAGAGGAGCATGGTTCTCACAGTGGCTTTGAAGCAGAGGGAAATGAGGCAGTGGCACTGCAGTCACTGAACTTAGGCTCTGTGTAAGACATTACAGTGTAGCTTTATGTACAGTCTCTTTTTTGATCAGCCTTATGCTGCTGGCTTGGCCACCAGCAATGTATAATTATTTGCAGATGTGGTATGATATTGCAAAGTCAGCTGAGTCAGAAATGAGTGTTCGGAGAGGAAAATTTCTGTTCACACTAGTTGTAAGTTTAGTAGAAATTTACTGTGACTGCATCTACTGTTGGGCTTTTATAATGGTTACTTTATACGTGCATTACACTTGTTTTAAAGCAGTGTTTAAGTGAGGGAAGGAGCATTTGAGAAGCAGGCAAACAACAAAACTTTAAAGCCTTTATGTACATTACTCTAGTGAGCTTGAGAAAGGGACCATTATCAATGTGGATGGTATAAGTGAACAAGAAACTGATGCCTTAAGTTTTAGGTTTCATATTTTCCAGATTCTGCACTGCATTAGTATATAACTCTGAACTTCACATAAAGTGTTAGCAAGTTATTTTCACAGTTTACTTAGATAAAACAATCCTTTTCTAGCCTGAGAACCAAGGACACCATTGCAGTTTCAGGCCCAAAAAGTATAAACAACAGCGAATTGAGGAGAGCAAACTCGGAGGATGGTAACCTGAAGCTGTTATTGGACAATTAACCCCAATATGTAAATGGACCAAAACTTATAAAAGCGTGAAACCTCATGACCAGTTGTTCATCTTGGGTATAGCCATGGCTGGGCTCTTGTACTACTCAAGATGTATCCTTTGAAGGCCTTTTCAGTAAGTACCTACTTTATTCCTTTATCACTAGCATCTGTTCTAGGTAGCCTCTCAAGGCATCAAAATCTTTCCACCAAATATCTAAATATCTGCTGCAGATTGTAGCAAGGTAAGACAAAGAACAAGTGACTTAAAGTCACTTTTTTTCCATGAAAAAAACTGTAAACCTAAATTGCATTGATTGAACATATTTTTTATAATATTTGTGAGTAATTCTATTTTTAAAGTTTCTTTCCTTGAATAGCTGTTCCTAGTCAAAGGCTAGGTATTGCACAATTTAGGCTGATCATTTCAAAATAATGTCACCAGAGCTGCACTGACTTGGAAGTATAGAATACTACCCAACCTTAATTTCTTTTCTAGTATTCTAGCACAAAAACAGTGGAGACCCATAGTCCCATTAGAACTTTGTTTTTTAAAGAAAAGAAGTTAGTATTATTTGGTGAAAACTGGAATACTTTAAGCACTCTCCTTTTGTTTATTTGTTTGTTTCTGTCTTTTATTTTTAAAAGGCAGTTTAGTTTTTTGTTGACATCTCAGGTTGTTTAGTGTCTTCCCAAGTGGGCTAACCTGAAAATAAGAAAAACTTCGAAAATTCAGCTTAGATTTCAGTTGATGAAAAGGTGGGAGATCAAAAATACGGAGAAATAAAAATGAAATTATAAGGAAAACATTATTTTACTTACTAATCCAATAAAGAATAAAAATTATTTGTGTTACAATATGCACCAGCTACTTTGTGTATATCTCACTGTTTCATTTTTTTATGAGTCAGCATAGTAAATAACCAACTTTATGCTGGCCAGGAGCATCATTTCACTGACCAAGTGAAGGGGAAGTATTCATCTGTGATTCAATCCAACAAGGAAGTCTCCTTGTCCATGTGAAAGGCTCTAAATATTTTAGAGAACTTAGTGTCTGTTAAATACTTCCATCTGCTATTGCTTGGCAGAGAGATGTTAAATGGCCTTCTTTCCCGCCATTTTATTTCACTTCTGCTTGCTAAGTCTGCTCATACAAAATTCATTAGTCTGGTCAGACTCTTAACATTCCTTGTGTCTCCTTTCTTTGTAAATTGTATGCTTTGTCATGCTGATCTGGTCTGAGGTAGTCACTGGTGTTGCTAGCTGTAGTCTCTCAGTAGTGCACTTATGGTCTTCAAAGTTAAGAGGTAATTTTCCAGATCATAATAGTTTTCTGATTATAACACTCAATAATAACAAGAATTTAAAAACTGGTTCCTGCTACTTGGAGCAGGAGCATATGAGTAGAAATTGATGCAATCATCTTTTCAAAAAGAACACTTTGTAAATCCTTGTTTTATATAAGCCATGTGGTATTTATTGCCTGGTATCCTGGGTAGCTGAATGGCCTAATTTTTTACCTGTTGACAAGAACACCCCCCCCCCCCTCCCCCATATACACACAGACTTTACTAGTTGTTTTGTAGCTGTTGTTTTACACTACATTCTGAAGTTACTGCTCTGGCTTTATTAAGTCCATAATATCAATTCTATATTAGAGGTGGTAATAGCTTGCAGTGAGCACTTTTGTTTGTAAAGGTACCAAATAATGTATTTGGAATAGTTGTGAGGGAAGGGTAAAATAGTCTGTTTCATAGAGAAATAGGAAAAAAACCAAATAAATATTGCTTTTTCTTAAGATGCTTATAAGAATGTAATGTAAGGTTCATTAAACATAGTACACTTCATTAGAAATACATTAGAATCCTATTAGAATAAAAGAGTGTGTGTTTGATTAATTGTGAATAAGATGATAGGTGAATTTTCTTGGGGAGTGGGTGAGGATTGGTGATGACCAAATCAGGCAGGTGTGGTATGGCTAGGATACCATTCTTTGAATTTAAAGCAAACTGTGTGCACATCTGGAAGATGGAAGCATTGCAGTGCACCCACATCAGTTCTGGTCCATGATAATATCTAAATGAGCTCGTACTTTTTAGTCGTGTGTTTTGAAAGCTTTGTTTAATAGTATTGTCAGCAGACAAATCACAAAATAAAGATGGGGGAAGGTGCTGTGGATCTGCTAATGGATGTAGATGCTACAAGAAGTGAGAGACTACAAAGAACCAAATGCATCAAAAGGCTAAAAAAATGGCCCAGAAAGTTGTTCTATTTTTGTGTGTGATAGTATTCAAGTATGTTTTTAGCTGTTTAGAATTATCAGTATCTTTATGGTATCTTTTATTAAAAAAAACCCACCCAAGATAATTGACAGACATTGGTGATAGGTCTGTGACACCACGCGGAGCTAAGACCAGGCTGAATAGGGGAGTACTGGTTATGAATTCTGTGTCATGAAAAATATCTTTTCTGTAATCCTCTCTCAGTATCTTGTGTTGCATTTTCTAATCAAGTTCTGATTTAGTTTTAGGAGCAAAGCTGTGTGTTTAAAATGGAAGCTGATGTGAATGGAGAGTCCAGAACTGCCCTCTCCACCCTCTCTGTGCCTCTTGCAGAGGTGAGTTCTGCAGCCAGGATGGAAGCAGAAAGCCACGCTGTTCCAGCACCCCCTGCTCACCATTGAGGCAGACAGTTGCAGGATACCAGATCCTTCGCATGGATTCTAACTACCTGGTTGGCTTCACAACTGGAGAGGAGCTGATAAAATTAGCCCGTAAGTGTATTGGGAGTGAAGAGAATAAAGGAGAATGTGGTCCTAACCTGGGGTCCAAACATCTTGATTCAGGACTTTCACGTTCCTCACGTTTGTACAAAACTAGAAGTAGGTACTACCAGCCATATGAGATCCCAGCAGTAACTGGAAGGAGGAGGAGACAGATGCCCAGCTCAGGGGATAAATACAATAAAGCTTTACAATATGAACCTTACAAGGCATTTCATGGTCCCCTGCCTCTTTTCCTTTTGAAAGGTAAAAGGGCTCATTCAAAATCCCTAGACTACCTCAATTTAGACAAAATGAACATTAAGGAACCTGCTGACACTGAAGTGCTACAATACCAGCTCCAACACCTTACTCTTAGAGGGGATCATATGTTTTCAAGGAACAGCACATGAGCTACCATCTCAAATTTAGAAATGGTTTCTGATCTTTTGTCTGTTGCTGCAGAAATCCACTGTTGTGCTGTGTACATGGTTGTCCACACTGTAGGTAGTTTTATCATCTCAAATGTTACCAGGAAGTAATTTATTTGAATACAGTCTTGGCAATGCAGTGTTCTACAAATGCTTGGAGAGAGAAATCTTTTCTGATCAAGCAGCTTCTGATGCAGATTTGACTGCAACTAGTGGATATTTCTTTGGACGCATTTTAACAAAAAAAAAAATCTTTTGATTTTTGAGATTTTTTTTTTTTCTGTACTGCTTCTGTTTACACAACAGTAATTCAACACTGAAAAATTTGTGATACCTGCTTGGTTGTTGCTAATTTTGGCTTGATATTAGAAACTGCTCTTGGATAAGTACCCAAGGAGGTTTTTTGGGTTTACTTTTTGTTTCTGTAGTAAAATGTATATGTTTTACTTACAGCATGGACAGGAAAGTGAGCTTGACTGGATGAATCACTTGCTGTTTAAACAATCCAATTCATACATTTTGAGACTGCACTTGTACTGATGATGTGGGTGAGATTCGTTCATAAAATAAACATTTGCTACTTGAATCCTATTAAATTATTTTTTTAGTTTCTGCATGGAAGTAATTGTTTTGTCCATTTTATTCTATAAAACATGTTCAGAATAAATCTTTAAGTTATTAAAAGCAAATCTTTCAGGAAGTAAAGTTTTGAGGGTTTTTTTGAGTTTTTTGGATTTTTTTTGTTAGATTTTGTTTTTGCGTTGTCTAGAGACAGAAAATGGAATATCTATTAGTATGTTGGTAATATTTTTGATTTTAATTTGTGATTTTCATTTAATCTGTAGTAGAAGAAGGTGTCAACTTCATAGCTTTGGAAATTTTGTTGACTTGAAGCAGTGAACACAAGCTCTGGAGGGCAGATTCTTTTCTTGACAAGAGTACAACTGAAACATTTCTTGTCAGTGTTGCAAGGATGATCTTGAATTTTGCAGCAGGATAATGCACTGGGTTACTTTTGTTAATTTTTATCAAAATATCCTATCAAATGCAGATTTGACAACTGTATCCTTAGATGAGTTTAGAATATTTTAATTGGTTTTATTTTAGTTTAAAAATAAAAAATAGTTTTCATACTGTATTTTTCTAAGATGCAGTCTTGTACTGAAGCAATGCATAACTTGATTTTGCCTGATAACCTCTGGAAAAGTTAAAAATAATTTCATTTTGCTTTGAAACATAAATTATTTGATCAGTTGTTTCTGATAGAGTCAGGTTTTTTTTGTTTGTTTATCACTCAGAATTACTGGAAAGCACTACTTAGTGCATGTACTCTGAGAAATGAAGAGGTCTTATGCTGTCACTCCATAGTTTAAATGAATGCAGCCCTCCAGTGAGCATGTTGTAGTTTGGTTATCTTTTTTAGGTTTACTAGAAAATACAAAAAAACCACAGAAAACAATGTGTATTTTTCAAAGTTAACTACACTGGTTAAATTTAATGTATTGAGCAATGATCTTGAAAGTAAGGTCTTCCTATAAATTTTTAGTTTGAGAAACAGAATATGGTTAGATGCCAAAGAGTTAGGGGGTTTATTTAAGGAATAAACACTACTGTTCATTGAAATATCAAATTAAATTGTACTTCTGGCTGAAAAATAAAAAGGGTATTATAAACAGGTGTTGTTGTGAATTCATTTGCTGTGTAGAAAGAAAAAAGGACATTTAAAAAAATACAATGTTAGACCAGGGAACATTTAACAACAACTTGAAAGTTGGGGTCCGAGATTTCTGTGAAATAGATGCCTAGCTCTGTTCCTTGGTTTCAGGAAAAGATCCATGCATTTATCTTTTATGTATCTTTCTAATGTCCACTGCTATAATTGTATGGCTACTGAGAGGCTGGTTGATGGCTATCTAGCTGAGTTCAGACATAAAAAATGTGTTGATATTTTGTCTTTGGTGATTTGTTTGTCAGTGTGCTCAGACACAGTCATGTTCACTTAATTCACACACACTTGCAGCCCTCATAAATACTATTTACACTACCTGTAATACAGACTAAGCAAGGAACTGTTAATAGATAACTTTTTTCTAAGTTTTAATGGTACCAAAGAATCAGAAACAAATTTTCCAACATAATTTTTGAAAGTTCTATAGTGTGGTCTGGTTGAAGTTAGTTATTTTTACCTTTAAAGCATTACATGCTAAATGGACAAAATTGGAAGTAATCATCTTTAGTGAGACTATAGTCAGCAAAAACTAGAAAAAATGCTTTGAATAAGACTAATTTTATAGTAGAGCTACAGTAGAGAAGTATAAATAAGTTGTTAAGCTATTGTAGGAAAAAATGTAGATTAAAACTGGAAAATGTAGATTTATTACAGTGCTGATAGCTTTAAAGACAATGTCAAGCTTGGCAACCAATGGTAAAATGCACGTATATTTGCACGTTGTTGCAAGTGTGGGTTTGTTGATGATTCTAAGGATGACTTTTTGCATGAATGGTTTGTTGTAATCTCTTAATTGGGGCATCAGTTTCCATAATGGGTGATTACACTGAACACTGTAAGAGTGGCACAAACATGTGGCAGGTAGACAGATCTTAAGAAGAACACAGTAATGTTCGAATTACTGATTTGTTTTTTCCTATGTCTCACAGTGCATAGTTTTAGGTGGAAGGTAATACCAACTTTCCAAGTCTTTGAAAACCTTCTGACAGGTTATATAGATTTTTTCCCAGTGATTTTGCCAGGGTAATTTTTTTTCCTCTTTATTCCACCACAAAAGCACTCAGGGAAGTTCACACTACCTTCAGGTCTACAGAATGTGGAAGGCTTCCTTTCCACATTGAAAAGGAATGTGGAGCACGGGAACATTGCCCTAATATTTGAAAGGAGCAAGGGAATATTACCTTACTATTTTAATATCCCATCTGTCTTACACTGTTCTTACCCTTAGATAGTTTGGCGGTAGAGAGTGGCATTGATATAAACCTACAGAGGTTGCATTAGAAGAACTGGGGAAAGAAGACTATCAATTGTGGAGGAAAAACCCAGAATCAGTTGTATTGTGTTGAAAACAAAAGGGAAGGTAAGGATATTAACTAACCACATTGCATCCATTTTTAGGAGACAAATTGTCTTGCATATGCTTGGTATCACTTATTGAGAAATTGGCCTGGAGTAAAAAGAGGGGGAGTCTCTCTTTAGAGGAAGAGGAGAGCCTTGCACAGTGCTTTGATTTCTGTGGAGAGTGGAAGGACAGAAAGAATTCACCATAATATATCAGGGAAAGGCTCCAGAGGAGCAGTACTACAAGAACAGCAGGAGTATAGTTCCAGTGTCAGAAAAAGCAAAGACATGGAAGAAGATGGTGTGCTGGCCTCAGATCTCTCTAGGTAGCAATGGAATGTGTTTCTGCCCAACTAAGGAGGCTGATGAGATGTCTTAGCAAAATGCTGTGATCGGTCTAGGATGCAGTGAAGGTAAGAAGCAGGAGCTTGAATCTGTGTGTGTAATGCTTTCATACTCATAATCTTAGATGAAATTCAGATGGGAGTGCAGAAGGAATAAAATAATTTGCTTTATTTCAATTGAGCATGGCCTGAAATTCAAGTTCCTGTGGTGTTTTATGATACTGAACAGCCCTACACAGCGTGAATAAGCAGACGGTGCTATTTTGTAGTCTGAGAAGCTCACTTTAAAAGCAAAACTTGTCTGTTAAGTTCCTTTATTATTAATTTTAATTTAAAAAAATTAAGAATCTTTCAAACTTTGTTATATATTATGGTGTAAATACTGACTATGATGTCTGGTAGGATTATTGTTGCATTCCATTTTGGCATTTTGCTAGACTCTCCGTGCTGAAGCTTCTCATGGGCTGTTCTTTCCGTAATGAGGCAGAAGTGCTAAAATATGCAAGAACATTGAGAACAGCACTAACAGCCTGAACCCTATGAGAAAATGGAGCAAGCCATGATTTGCTGTATTGTTTTACATTAGCTAATTTTTCAGGAAGTGAAAAAATGTTCAAAAAAGGCATGAGGTACTGGGATGCCTTTAGAAGTCTATTTCAGGCCAGGAATGTTGCAGCATAGAGCTTCATAGTGTGAACTATAGTCTGCAAATGGATAAAAGCAGAAGGGGAGAGAGAATGTCATTGTGCACTGGAATATCGAGTTGGTGGAACATCAAGTTTTTAAGCTAAGTGGATGAGACAAAAAAAAAAAAATTAAATGCAAATTCATTTGTTTCTACCTTTTCTCAGTGCTTTTAAGTTTTTTATATTAATTGTGGTGAACATCTTCCAATCTTTATGAAGAAAAATTGGAGGATATCCAGAAAAGCAATAGCTCCAAGCAACTGACTATATGCAAGACTTTTACCTATCCATCTGTAACAATGCTTTTTATAGAATTTAATTAGTTTTATTTTTATGAGCCTTTTAATATTTAGCTGATAATTTTTTCAGAATTAGTCTTGGTAAAGAGATAGTTGGAAAAAAAATACTGAAGTAAGAAATACTGATGGGTGTCTCAGGAAAAATGGTAGATAATTCTTCATGTAAATAATGGCCATCCTATTGGTTTAATAACTTTGAAGTAGAACTGCAAACCTAGAGAAAAAAAAGAATCATTCACCACTCCCAGGAGCAGAGGTGGGATACAATGTTCTGTAAAGATTGCTCCAATCTGTATCCAGTTCTCCTCCAGTTAATCCAATTTTGAGACACAGCCATGTTTCAGAGATGATGAAGTGCTTCACAGATACTACTTTTAATGTTTTAGAGAGGCTTTTAGAAGGCTGGAGTACCCAGTTCTAGAAACACGAAGTCATTTAGGTCCAAGATAATTTAGTTCAATCCCACTGCCAAGTCCGCTAAACCATGTCCCTGAGTGCCACAACTACAGGTCTTTAAATAGCTCCAGGGATGGTTAATGCCACCATAGCCCTGGGCAGCCTGTTCAGTGCTTGACAACCCTTAACATGAAGAAATTTCCCCTAATATCCAAACTAAATCTCCCCTGGTGCAACTTGAGACTATTTCCTATTGTCCTGTTGCTTGTTCTTTTGGAGAAAAACCTGAGCCCTGCTGTCGGAATCTGAGGTATTGATGATTCTGAGATTGTAGAAAGTCTCTGTCTTTCAGCCCTGCTGCCAAAGAAGAAGCCATAATTTGTCTGTGCTGGTTTTCAAGGTTGTTTATTCTGTTTAACATGTTCTGCTGCCCTGCCCA